AATTATATTTTGAAAAATGTTTGAAAACAACAGAGCTGAATCCATCTTGAGGTATTCAAGTACAAATACATTTATATTTGAAAATAGGGTATATCATGAATTCTTCTGTACTTCTAGGCAAGGTTTAGATTTGTGCTTTCAAGCACACAGAAACTACTGTTTTGAAGTAAGCAAAATATGTAGAGTATTCAGAATGCACAAATTACCTGGCACTCTCTCTTCACTGTATCTCCATTTTTTCCTGTTCAACAGAAACTCTCTCATTTTTCTGTATGCCACAAATTAATATGAACAGGACTACTTTGCTTTTCCTTCAGCATTTGTCACAATGTTATTGTGCGTATTCAAATTAGAAATGTTATTCATTAGACTGAATTCCATACTGTAAAAATACTGTAATATTTAGGATTGTCATTTAAAGATGAAAGTGAAATTATATGTTATAGTACACAGATATTTTTTTTGTGATGACTGTTGCAAAGAGCTTCAGTCTATATGAATGTCTTCAGTGTTTCTGTGAAATTTCCTGAAGACACTCCTTGTAAGTGTACACATCTTCCTCTCTTCTCTTCATTTTGGTGGCAGGAATGCACAGCCTCATCCACTCTTGGCCCAGTTGCTGTTCATTTTGTCTCTGAATCAAATATTAAACTGACATCTAATGAATTTTAAGTAATGGACTCTCAGATTTACAGACTTCACACAAGCTGGGCTAGAACAGAAATGAAATAGTGTCTGTATACTGATTCACAATTAAAGTTCCAGTAATATCCTTCTGAAAATCTTGGACAGTTTCATAGCAGGGAAATACTATCTTTGGAATTCAAAAACTTGCATGGCTACAAGATCACAGGCATGTAATGGCTCTTCTAATACTGTGCCCCACACCACATTCTATTTTGTCACTCTGCTTTTAGTAGCAACAGCAGCAACAAAGACCATGATCCTCAGCAAACTCAAATGGCCACAAGAATAGTCACCCTAACAAGTACTGTACAGGAACATTTTTATGCAATATCACCATGTGCAGCTGTGCATTTGCAGACAATTCAGTAAATCAACATGGAGTCACTTAATGCTTTTTTATTATTTTGTTTCCAGTAATCTCTCCCTCACATGCCGCAGTCAATTAAACTTGAAAGAATATAAGAGAGTAGATTATATCCTGAACAGCATGGGGCAATGCTGTCCTATCTTTCACTATGGTATCTCAGTGATAACTGACTGCCAGGCTCAACAAAGAAGCAAATATGTCAGTCATACAGGTGCAGGGAGGAAAGGCAAGATTTGCACGGAAGACCATGGGAAATACAAACAACATGATATTATAAAGACAACTGGAAAATTCTTTGCCACTTCAAACCTTCACAGCGTTATTAGCAGTACTCTGTGATTTCTCTGCGATGTTGCTATGACTCCATAGACAAATTATGATCATCAGTTCATCTGCTTCTGATCAGACCCTGACATAATTGTTTTGTATTTAAATTTATCCTAAGTTTTGCACCAAAAATAAAGTGCACATGCAGTTGATGGGTCTAATGGAATATTTGCATTGAATTTGTAGTGGAGCAGTGTTACACATCATGGAGTTTTCTGCCTCAATTCTTTCTGATAAGATACACAGATACTGCTACTGACAGGACAAGGGTGAAAACGAAGAAAGAACCTCAGATATTCTCCTACAATCTCACTTTGCAAAAGTGGCTACTGCAGCCTGGAATAGGACAGGACCTGTCTGGCTTTCTTTATACTCCCCCATGCTCCGGTGACGTGCAGGCCCTTACCTAAATGAGTTTGCTGCAAACCCATCCATGCACTCCATCAACGGGTGACCGCTTCCAGCTAGTCTATACCCATTTTTCTGAACAGAAAGATGCAGTGAACTGTGTGCAGACTACAGTTGCATGGCACGGACCACCCTGTAGCTGTTGCCAACAAGCTGCAGCTGTGGAGTGTATACCTGCAACCCCAACTTGGAGGGTGTGAGTGGGAGGGCCCACCGATGACAGGAAGGCAGGGCAAGCAGTGGCAGCTGACTGGGCAGGGGGCCTCAGCTCATTCCTTGTCCTGGGGCCAATGCCAACTGTGCTCGGCCACTAACACAGGGAGAATGCGGGGTGAGTCACCGAATTAGAACAAGGGGAACCTAGTGACTCTAAAGGGCAATACATTTACAGTTGATAATAGAAAATCCCCTTTATTTTTATACTCAGCAGGCACAACTAACCATACGACTCAGTACATGTCCTGCAGGACAGAGACTCAGGTTCAGTTTCTGAGCACTATTTGGCCATCACCCTGCTGGAATTCAGCTGCAGGTAAAGGTTTTAAGCACAGCTTCAAGGCTTCCACACATTTCGTATCATCCTGTCTATGCCAGCTCACTTTTTTTCCCCTTGTGATATTGGCCATGCTCCTTTTAGTGACATTTCACTTCACCCAAAGGGAAGGATATTTGCCCTCAGGAGTATTCCCCCTCTCTCCCTCCCGTTATACAGCACAGCACTGAACAATACATTTAAGGGAGGTTCAGATAATTTCCCAGCTGTCACATTTTAACGGTCAAAGAATAAAATGTGCAATTAGTATTCACTGAGGAAAAGAAATCTAAAAAAGAAAAAAAAAAAAGTGAGGCTTATGCACTTACAGTGTGCTGTAGAGACAAGGAAGAGGGTGTACAAGGTGGGGTTGGCAGAGAGGGGATGGAGCACACAGAAAGAGGAAGACTTTTCAGTGTCAGTGTCACCCCACCAACCAGCCTCCTGAATCTCTAAAGACTGTATCATTAGTAAGAGTATCATGCTTTAATTCACATATTTGTGGGAACTGTTGAGCACAAAAACTTTGTTTCTTGGCTTCAGAAAACAGTCAGGAGAAACTGTTTCCAAGAAAGTTGCAGTAACTTAAGAAAAGAGGAAGTACTATTACAGCGAAGTGCCAGCGATCTGTCAAACTGGAAACCTCCTGAGGTCAAAAAGGCTTAATCTGCAGGGGAATGGGGAATGTGACACAAGTTGGAAGGAGGCAAGCTGACAGGAAAATTAGCCAAGAAGGAGTCTGGAATACAGCACAGTCTGGCTGAGAACCCCCTGCTCTCCTAAGCCCTCAACTTCTTGCCTCCCTCAGCACTTCAGTCCTTGTGGTCACCTTGCAGCCCTAACTCGCACTGTCCGCACAAGGGACACGCACGACCTCAGGACCGGCAAAGCAGCTCTCGCTGCAGGGCTGCCACTTTAGCTTTCACTGCGCTTTACCCTGCCCTGTCAGCAGACAGCTCCAGCGGCTTCCCTCGCTGAGCCAGCTGGGAGAGGGGCCAGGGGAAAGGGCTCCTCTGGGCCTCCCAGCATCAAGCTGCGGCACCCTGCTGCTCCCCACAGCCAGTGCTCGCTCCCAGTGCCACATACCCCGGCGGGTGCCCTGAGAGCCTTCCTCACGCCCGGTGCCACTGAGGCTCTGTCCCGTGCCAAGCCCTGCGTGAACAGCAAGCTTACAAAGGCACCTGATACGCTAGGCAGCCAGGCTCCCTAAAACCTCAGGTGCTGCTTGGGGTGTGTTTGGTAGCATCGCACTGGCAAGACCATGATTTAGGGAAAAATTAAAAGTGCTTATTTTTTGCACCAGGCTGGCTACGCCACACAGATCGCACTTGACAGTAATGAGAAGGGAAAATTCAGACGCATGGAAATTTGAAGTTGGAAGACCTTCGGGTTGTGAAACTGGACTAAATATAAAGAACTTTGGGGTAATTAAAAATAAAATCAAAAATCAATTCACTAACAAAATTGCAATAGAATTGTATTTCTTCTTTTCCCTGACCTGAAGAATGAGATTGGCCATCCTAACAAAGAGACAGCAGTTTAACTCTGCTTTGAAGTGAAAACTTTGAGCTTATTTAAGCTGATATTTCCAGCTGGAAAGCTGGAAATAAGTACAAATACGTACAAATTGACACACAAGTGTGTGCTATGCTATCAGAAGATATCGGTTCTCTTACTACTTTTTATTTTCAAAACTGAACAAAAAAAGCTGCAACCCATCCGATTAGAGTTACCTGCCACTGTTGTCTTCTCGCATTTCATAATTTGTTCAGTAGGTGAACAGTGAAGAACATTTTTTCCTAAGATGCACCCAAGGTGCTGAATTTCTCCCGTTTCGGCAACATTTTCCCGCTATGTCTCTAGAAGACCGCGAGCCCACGCCTGACACCTCCGTTTCCCACACAAGTCTATTTCCAATCCCGCCGCATTCCCCTGCCGCGGGGTCAGACGCCTTCTCCTGCTCCCGTGCGGGGCGAGGCCGCCCCCCGGGGCTCTCAGGGACCCCTCGGCTACACCCGGGGGCACCGCAGCCTTAGGGGCCGGCACAGCCCGGGGCTGGACGGCGCCGAGCCCGAGCCCTCGGCGCAGAGAGAGGCTCGCTGTTCTTACCCCGTTGGCCGCCGCCATCTGGACGACGATCTCGATGGCCGCCCGGCTGAAGTACCTGCCGTCGCTGCCCACCACCATGGTGCAGCCCTGGCGGTCGCGGAGGTCGACGGAGGAGAGGAGGCTCTGCACGAAGTTGGGCAGGTAGTTGCGCTGGCTCTCGAACAGCCCCGTGGGGCGCCGCAGCCCCCCGCCGCCCGTCGGCCGCTGGTCCTCGTAGGGCGCCGTCTGCACGGTCAGCACCGGGATCGGGGTCCTCTCCATGCCGGCGCCCCGCCGCCGCCGCCGCCCGCCCGGCTGTGGCTCGGCTGGCGAGCGGCAGCCTCTGGCGGCCGGGCTGGTGCCGCTCCCCCGGGCGGCCGCGGGGTCGGGCTCCCTCACGGCCGGCCCCCCGGGGCGGAGGCGGGCTCGGGGCCCCCGCGGCACCTCTGCCGCCGGCCAAAAATAGCCCTGCGAGGCGCCGCCGCCTCCTGCCAGGGCTGTAACTGGAGGCTGGGGAGGCAGAGGGGCGGCCAGCGAGGCACACTTGCGCGGGGGGATCACGCTCTGTCAGCGCCGCAGCCGGCCCCGGCAGGCACGGGTAGCCCCGGGAGGCACCCCCGGCAGCCGGCCCGGGGGAGCACAGCCCGCTGCGGGTGCCAGGAGCACCTGCATCTGAGCCCCAGCCCGCTGGGGGTGGTGGTGCCCCGTTTTGCGGGCGAGGAAAGAGAGGAGCAAGGAGGAATTAACGCATGAAGACCTTCTGTCTCTGCAGCGCCTGAAGTGAGGCGAAGGGATTTTTTTTCCCCGTGTTGCTCACGAACAAGTTTTTTGTGTAATAAGCAAGTTCACAGAAGGGTTTTCTTTTGTTTGTTTTTGCAGCAGGCGTTGAGTACCACAGAAAGAGTCTGGTCTGACAGAAAGATAACCGAGCATGCAAGCTTCCATCCAGGCATCTTTCCTGTCAGGCAAAGCATCCCTCTGAAACAGTCTTTCACTTTGAAAAAAAATGTCAGGTATTATGCGTTTCCTAGGGATGTTCATTGACTCGGTCCATTCACGTGAGTGTTCATTCTGCTTAAAATAAACGCAGAGGTGCTAGCACTATTGCAGGGATGTCTGACATTTCCCAGTATAAAAGCAGTGTTTACAGATGCCTATGGCTGTCAAACATCAGATGAAATTTTCCATCCAAATGCTTGCTTCACACTAGGTCCACACAACAGTGTTGTGTGTGTGCATGTGTGTTTTGTTTTGTTGTTCTTGCCAGGGCAGCTCTGTTGGCTGGAGAACTGTTAAAAAATAAAAATAAATAAAAAAAAAAAAAAGAGAGAGAGAGAGAGAGAGAGAGACTTGCAACCTAAATGGCATTCTTGTGCTTATGAAATCCCCGGGTAAGTACACCTGAGCAGACAAAAAAATTGGTAGTTCACTGGGCTCACTTTCATGGAAGCATTCTCAAGGTCTCCGCTAAAGAGGCTGCTCAGAAACTGCTCAGAAACTTGACGGAGTGTCAAGGCTCAACAAGACATGCTAGCAGCATTACAAGAGGTGACCAGGTGAACAAGGAGTAAAATACTTCTGTCTATTACATAGTCTAAGTGCTCATGAAGTGAGACTCATGAGAGTAAGACTCAGGAAGACTCACCTGATGAATGGTAACTGCAGTAACTCAGTCACACTTTTGAGCCATCTCTGCAGACCTCTTGGTGGATTGGGCAGACAGTGTATGGCATTTTTAAAATATGATTGTCTACTAAATATGTCTACTAAAATATGATTGTCATCCACGCCGTTGTGAGTGACCGCCACCTTCACAGCAGAATGCTCTCCATGCCACAGTAGGCAAGGCCTAACAGTTTAAATAAACTTACCCACTGAAGCAGGTAGGAATTTTAGCTCTCTTGAAGGGTCACTTACATTCTGGCAGAGGGCCAGTACTGCAGAACAGATAGAAGGAAGCAGTCATCTGTTCTCTGTTAGATCTCCTAGAGCTTATGTACTGTGGTCTATAGTACAGCTATGTCAGCAAAGCCAGTATTGCAGGGATCTCCCTGTTTAGATGAGCCCAAGTGCTGGCCTTTTTGTGACAGTGGGTGATTTAATAGATAAATCATTTCTGAAAAGGAAGAAGGAGAAAATGTTTTTCCTTAAGAAAAGTCCTAAATATACCAGTGCTTGAGAAATTCTAGTGCTCCCATGCTCTGGAACAACAGTAGAAGTGGGGTAATAATATATTTCCAGAGGGTCATCCACGCGTTTAAGCCTGTGAACTAGGTTGATGGTTGGTTGGTTGTTTTTGTTTGTTTGTTTGTTTTGAATTCAGAAATCAATGGAAGAAAAACTAAAAGAAAAGTAAATGTATCCAGTATTTCTTAGAAATACTAATTCAGCAGAAAATAGTGACATTTATGCCTGTCTGTTCCAATCAGAATGCATGTTAAATAGCAAAAGGAAAGTATAGAAATGCCAGTTCTCAGACCGCTAATGTAAACAAGGCACAGTTATAGATGAGGTGGTTACACCTTAAATAATTTTGGGCATTACCAGTAATGTAGCCACAATATATAGGCTGCAATAGTGAGAACTGAAATTGAATCGGGTAACTGACATTTATCACAGCAACAATTCAAAGAGGAAACAGCAACAAAGGTGGAAAGTGTTAGAAACAATGGATGATCCAAATATCAAATAAAGGAATACACAGGATCAAAGGAAGAAGCAAAGTACTAGCCTCCAAAACAGGGAAATGACTGCACATTTTGTACTTGTAGGGGAAATGCATTCACCATTTGGAAAAAAAAATACATCAGTTTGAAGAATGCCACAAACACTGAAATTCCCAGAATATACATGTTTTAGAGGCACTGCTAGTGACAGTTTCCCAGAAGTGTTTGTCTTCAGTCATTTCCTCTACATAAACAATGTTAAAAAATAAAGAAAAATAGTGTTTTGGAGGTTTGTTTGTTTGTTTTGTTTTTGTTTTTGTTTTGTTTTGTTTTTTCAGGTATCACCTTGACATTGTCTCTACCAAGATTATAATGGATTATAAAGAGCACTGTAAATTTTTAAATTCAAAGTCAGTCTCTCCTAGAAAAGTATCTTCAGGCTAACGTTTTCATGATCCCTCTTTTACTGTGATTCCTTTAATAATTTGCAAAACTCAAGTTCCTGAAGTCATACTGTTTCCTGAGAAGCTCAGTTGTTGTTGTTTTTTAAATTAAAAAACTCACCAGCCCAGAGAAGTAGAGAATGTATAGAACTAGAAAACATTCTAGCACAAGAACTGACTAAAAGGAGCCTTTTTTATATATAAGTTCCTAATTTTTCAAGCACCTGGATTAGCATTTCGTTGGTGTATTTATACCTGAGAAAGCTCTTCAAATTCTCTTTTATAGCAATGTGAGTCCCACAAGTGGCTCTGCTCTCAGCAAATTTCATTCAAAACTGGAGGTCTCTGTAAATGACCTCTGTTGCAGTACATTAAGTGGTTACTGCTACGTATCTCTTAACAAAGGAACAACTATCAGTATGGAATGATATTAAATCCTTGGAATGCCTTCAAGGAAAACAACAGCTAAATATATTCTTAGAATTACCATAGTTTGTTGTGATTTAGTCTTTAAATGGTGGCAAAATGAAAAACAACTTAATGGAGTGATAGAATACATGCTCGGTTTGCTCCATTTCCAAGTAAAACAATTTGCTTTCTGACTGCCAACTTTGCAGGCTGGCTTTGGCATACATTATCCAGCTCAGGAGCATTTTCAACCTTTAATGTGATTAACACTTGTTAATTTCTGGGCCTTATAATGTTTACAATAATTCACTTGTGTTCTGCAATTAAATGAGTCAATGTTGTAAGAGACATAATTTTTACATTTCGTTATTTTTTTCCAGCATTATACTGATGTCTGTTCGTGTGCCTTCAGATCCAATTTTTTCATCGACTTAGCTGGACACTGGGTTCTCGTCTGGTTGACTCACAGGAAAGAAATCACTCCCACAGAAGTCCTCTATAGCCATGTAATTACTTCTGCGTCAGTGGCCTGGTGAACGTAAGTGTCCCCTCTCCAAGATAACAGAAACTGCAAAGGAATCTGCTTAAAGGCTGGTTAGTGAAGCCCAGCCCAGATGTGATTTGATGCAAATATACAAAAAATTGCTATGGACCTGATGCTTATTTCCTGTTAAAAAAAAATATACATATATATATATATATATATATATATATATATATATATATATTATATATATTCTTTTTTATTGCCTTGCAAACATTGCTTCAGCAGCAGAACTGTTAGTACCCTTAGCTAACAAGTTTTGCTCCTTCATTTGTATTACTAGTTGTAATTCAGTGCTTGCATACCTAAGTTTTGGACAGAAACATACTTTTACAACAGTTCCATGCAGTACATGCTTGTGATAGAAATGCAGTTAGATACACAAAATTAAGCCATGCACCAAGGTGCCATATTTTGCATTTCAAATTCTTATTCTAGCATGCAACTGGATTTTCCAATTACTGTCAAAGTGCAGTGATCATTTGAAGAACAGCATATGGTTTTCTTATTATCAAATGAAAAATGCTAATCTGACATATATAAAAAAAAAAAAAACATTTTGCAGAAAAGTTATCATAAAATGTTGGCACATCAAAATCAAAACATAGAAAGAAAATAGTTAATTCCAATCTATGTACTGTTTTGCAAATGAAAGCAAAAACAATTTTTAAAACACAGTGCTTCTAGATGAGGCATTTTATTCTTCTGAGTACTTCATTTTCTTTGGCTTTAATGACCTCATTTCAAAATGTAAGTCACTTTGGAGTTAAAAAAAAATAAAAGAGAAAATCAAAATGAAAGATTTTTAAGTAGCTTGAGCTGTCCTTTCTTTCACAATAAACGATGAAAATGAGTTCACAAATGGAAGATTTTCTATGTAAGCCCTGCTACAAACTGTTTAGAAAAGGTCAAAAAGTGTATTTTTATAGACTTGTAGGAAAATGAGTTCCCTTGTAGCAGAACTTTATTGAGAAATTGTATTTATAATAGTGTGGATATCACAACTCAGTGAAGTTGTTTTCTGGAAATTACTCTTAATCGCCGGAAAAGGCTATATTTCACCACAGCTGTAAGCTTCTAATTATTATGAAACAGGGCTATTGTTCTAAGGGACATTTTCACACAAACTCACATGCAAATTGATTTACAGAGTCCACACAGCAAAAGTTCCCTAAAAAAAATAATTCTCATAACTGGCAACTATTTTACTGCTATGTCAGCAACTCACAATGTTGTATAGATAAGGTATGACTTAAAAAATTGCCCATCACTAAGCATCAAATTAGGAAAAACAAGGAAGGAAGGGAGTGAGGAAGGAAGATCCTTCCTTCCTAACAGAGAAAGACCTAACAGAGAAAGACAATTTTGTAAAAATAACATACCCTCAAATGTGGAAAGTTTATTTAAATATTTTTGCGGATAACTGAGAAAATCAGGATAAGCATCCATTTCAAAACTATAACAATATGCCTACTCAAATTAGAGCTTTCAATTCTCTGAGTATCTTGGCATCACTAGCAATTTTTCTTTTTCCAGTACTATGAATAGACCAATCAGTTATTCTTATTTTCAATAAGTAAGTCCATAAACACTTGGGCATGCACATTGAATTCTAGTCCACAAGTCATGGAAAAGTAAGGGCATTTACCCATTCAGCCCTTGCTAGTCTGGGGAAGAGGCAGAACCTGAATGTGGGCCCAAGCAACTTTCTTTGTCCCCACTCTGCCACAGCTCACGAGCTCCATTGCTGTCAGGACTGGAGCAAGCAGGGGAAGCAGCTGAAACTAATTCTCCTATTGCCTTAACAGGGACGTGGAATGTGACTCACCAGCATGGGAGAGGAAACAAAATACAATGCCTGGGAGTCAAAGTAAGCCCTCTCCAGTCCGCAAGGGTATATACAAAGCTTCTGTGCATGTATTGCCATGCTATGCATGTATTGCAAGAACACCATTATACTTACTTACACTGCATTCTTAGGTCATCAACTATTATGCACTCCATGTACATTAAAAGAATTAAAATGTATTCAAGTCTTGGTCTGCATACATGTTAGGTTTGCTGTCTAGTCCAAAACAAGTGCTGCCATACAGAGGATTTGGCTAGATGTCTGAAATCAGGATGTAGTGGATACGTTTCTGAACAAATTACAGCTTCTCATTAGTCAGCCTGGCTGGGCTCATACACCCAGGAAAAAGGGGTGGAATAAATGCTGTGTTGATAATAAGACTGAAAGTAATATACTGTTCAAGTTTTTCTCAGTATTGTTCAATAACTCCTGTTTAACAGCTGCTGGATTCAATCATTCAAGTAAGCTCTAAAATGTGTATAACTCTTTGTGCACACACTAGCTACCAACATTAGGAGTCTGGACATCTGCAGAGGACATCTTCTGGGAACATTTCAGTATTCTTAACTTGAGTTCATGCTGGGGTTTATGTAGAGATGTGAGATTATTCTTCTCTGTGTGGGAATTAAAAATGAATGAATACCAAAAAATTCAGCATGAAATGATGAACCATCAACATATCCAATGTTTGTTCTTGTCCTTTAATTAAATACATATGGGAAGTCACTTGATTCAAGGGTAAAGAGAGCTGTGATGGGGATGGGGAAGAGAAAGGCTAGGGACAAGAAAGATCTGTGCAGAACAGTGGTCTCCTTCTTACCAGCAGGAGAGGGCACTTGAGAGAAGGCACTGTGCAGTACAAGTCCTTCCTACTACCCCATAAAAATACTTCAGGGCAGTCAGTGCCCAGAATGAACAAAGCCCACATGCAAACCAAAAAAGGACTTCTGACATGGATCTTCTGGAAGTTAGTCACAGAATGTGGAAATGTATTTAAGCCATCTAAAACACTAACATTATCAAATGTTAACATTTTGTAATTACCTAATTAAATTCTTGTTCAGGAAGTGACAGATTCTCTGAGTCCAGCAGAAACTCTTCCTATACTTGTTTCTGTAGGAATATGTCTTTTCCTTCTGGAAGTGCTTAATATGGAGCAATGTTTCATACTCTTACTTTTGCCCATTGTTAAGAGATTTGTAGTCTTTCTAACACAAATAAGTAAGTTAATTAATCCTTCTACATGTAAGATTACATGTGCAATCACCACAATCTTGTTAGCCTGTGTGGTAAAGATCATTATATTCTGTTTAAGAAACTGTTTGTGTTGCCAAGTAAGCAACATGCCGTCAAGTCCTGATTTAGCAAGAGCTTACTCCGTATATGCTGTGGAAGCCTTCCACTTCCATTTATGGCTATTTACCATTTGTGTCACAAGTTACGAGTGAAAACTTCATGCATAGGATTGACATTCTGGCAGGTGACATTCAAAGAATAAAGCACCACCTGCAAACTGCTCCGACTGCAAAAGACCTGCAGATTTCAGGTCCGATGTTCCGAGGTGCAAGAAATAGGTACTATCACTGCAACCAATGAGAATGACACGAGACCAAGCTGTTATGCTATGGCATCATGTTCTATAACTGTTACCAAATAATCCTCACAGATACTGCCAACTGGATGGCCTCTTCACCATCGTTTCCCACTTTTTCACTTCAGAAACCTGGCAGATAAATTGCTTCATGGCCCAGAGTTTGCTCCTTACAAGCTAGCATATTCTCTATGTATGCTGATGCTTTTCAATGGAATTGCTGAGTAAAATGAAACAAAACTAACCAAAATCTCACCTGAGGACCAGCAGTTTGATACTGGGAGCTGGGCAGTGATAACAGAGAAGTGAAATGTATGTTCTGATATATATTCTGGCTATCTTTTTGAGCCACCAGCACCAGAGATGCTGATTAGTAATGGTAACAGAGAAAACACTGTTTTTAACTTGTAGTCAAAGCATATATAAAGCTGAAAAATGCACAGCAGGAAGCACTCTTCCCCAGCCATTCTGAAAGCAAACACCTTTGAAGGGAGATACACAATATTATGATTGTTTGGCTCAGGGACTCCAGGGACTCCTTGTTGTATATACACTGGCTTCAACAACAAGGTATCAAGGTAGAAAAAGCAAAGAAGGTGTTGTCATCTCTGCTCCAAGTCACAGTCTCTCTGACAAGGGCTCAAGACTTGAAAACTATTCAGGAATGCAACAGAGATGGAAGAAGAAAGCAACATGGAAAATCAGCTCCTCGGAATGGGACGGGGCGGGGGGGGGGGGGGGGGAGGAAATAATACCTAGTTTACTTTCTGAGTTTTGGGTAAAGTCACATTTGTTTAAGTCCCTCGGTTCACATGCTTTAGAAAGCTCTTCAAGACCTTGGGATTAGAAAGCCACCCTAGGTATATTTTCAGGAAGGGTCCCAGGCAGAATTCCATCAATTCCTTAAAAAGTATCAATATCATGGTTAGATCACTTTGTATAGTTGATTAAAGAATTTCTCTGCTCCTCTTCGAACCTAGTGAAAACGACATTGTTAACTTCACTCTTCATTGTCTGCTGCTTCTGGCCCTGCCGTTCCAGGTAATATTACTGGTTAAAACATGGGAGATTCTTCTCTTTTTATGAATTTCCCTCTCTTTCATCTCAAGGATCAGGAAAGTTTTCAGCATAAATACTCTAAATTCTAGCTCACAGACAGATTTTCCCAGCAAATGTATATTATCATCTGTCATTTATATTATCTGCCACTATAACTGGTGGCAAGAAGAGAAATGTCTTATGGTAATGTGCTGTGTCTGTTACACAGCTTCTCTGAATTCAGGTGGCTCTGCCTATTTCTTTGACCACTAACAAGCTTAGATAGACATAAAAGCAGTACCTTAAAGGGATTAAAATAATCCAGAAAAAAAAAATGCTGAGTTTAATTTCTGAACCGACCTTACACTCCAGAAAAATCAGACAGAACCGAGTCAAAGGTGTAATTCCGAGGTGCTTCAGACTTACATTTAGCTGCTTGAGACCTGAGAACCCCAGCCAGCTTTCAGCAGTGATGCGCAAACTGATCGAGCAGCGCCTCCTTCTGCAGTCGTTCCCTGTGTCTGCTCCTCGACAGCCCGTTTTTCCGCAGGAAAAGCTGCTTTATTTTCCCCTTCCTTAGCGTGCCACGTCCTGCTGCTCGTCCCTGAGACTGCCGCAAGCCCGGCAGGGTGCTTCTCTGGGCATCCCCGCTTGGAGGAGCGCCTCCGGGCGCTTGCAGTCAGAAAAGCTAGCTTTTCCATTGCACTGCCTCTTCCCTCCCAGTCTTCCCTGCCCTTTCATTTGGCCTCTGATGAATCCAGGGTCACTTCAGATTTTCTTGTGTAGATGTTTTGCAAGCGCAAGTGGAATCAATATTTGATGCACTTTGGAAAACGAGTCTGTGGTTGGCAATTGCAATACAAAGTAAACTAAAATACTAATATAAGCGAAGTATCAATTGCAGGTGTTTAATAGGTAGTTTCCCTGCAGATTTCCAAGGCACTGAGTTAATGTACGTAGTGTTTCTGTGGTTGTAGAGGCATAGAGAGAATAAAATAATAAAATTTCTCTTTCCAAACAACTGGAAGGCTGAATTGTTATTTTTATTGGGCTGTAAACTACTCAGCTATTCTGTTTCCTGTTTGAGGATCTCTGAGCACTTAAGAAAGGAAATGAACATGTTTCCACATAATAGAGCAACAGACAATAAATTATCAGCTTAAATTGTAAGCAGGGTGATACAGGTGACCTTTGTGCGACCATAGGGGATAATTCCTTTAATTCCTGCTAAATATAAAACAATTCATTTTATGCAAGCAGTCCAGGTCTGGATTGAGGTCTTCAGAGCCTAATACTTCAGAAATGAATCTGCCTTGAGCAAGTTTGTCTTATTTAGTCCATGAAGCTTTTTTTAAAGAAGTAACATGCTGTTTAATTTCTTCATTCTAGAGCTACAAGTTCATTTTCCTGGGAGGCTCCTCTTGCACAGAAGCGAAGGTCTGTGTGTGCATACCAAGCTGTTTTGACTTGCTCGCATCAGGCTCTACTTTGAATCCCATTGTCTGGCAGTTCCTCAAAGAGTACAAATTGCTATTGATTGGTACCTACAGAGCTAAAGCAAGGAAGAGCAGCTGTAACTCAGCACGCCATCTGTGGCATGTAATAGATGCGAGTGATCCCTCAGGAATTCACACAGCGGCATCCACCTAGTAGCAGCAAGAATATCACCTAGAAGCCTCCTTAGGAATTATATATTCAAAAAGTCCTAATCTTTTTGTGGTATGATATAAACATTACCCATGCAATTGCTTGGTTTTAGATAGAGGGTTTTGTTTGTTTTGTTTTGGATACATCTCCCTCCTTCCCTTCCTTCCTTCCTTCCTCCCTTCCTTCCTTCCTTCCTTCCTTCCTTCCTTCCTTCCTTCCTTCCTTCCTTCCTTCCTTCCTTCCTTCCTTCCTTCCTTCCTTCCTTCCTTCCTTCCTTCCTTCCTCCTTCCTTCCTTCCTTCCTTCCTTCCTCCTTCCTCCTTCCTCCCTTCCTCCCTTCCTCCCGTCCTCCCTTCCTCCCTTCCTCCCTTCCTCCCTTCCTCCCTTCCTCCCTTCCTCCCTTCCTCCCTTCCTCCCTTCCTCCCTTCTCCCTTCTCCTTCCTCCCTTCCTCCCTTCCTCCCTTCCTCCCTTCCTCCCTTCCTCCCTTCCTCCCTTCCTTCCTTCCCTCCCTTCCTTTCCTTCCTTTCAGGAGGAGGGGGGGAATGAGTTCAATTGTACTGAGAAAATACTGCTTTTATATTCTTCACAATATTGACCAGTTCTTTTTAGTTGTGATTTAAGTTATCCCTCCTCTGTTGGTGCTCATGTTAGTAAGCTAAAGCTTAGCTTCTCAGGCACCTTTGATGCAGTCAGAGGTTCTTGCAATAATGTCAGTAAAGTTGCTCATCAAAAAACTAGTCAGAATTCTCATAGTTTTACAAGACAGAGGTGTCCTGGTTTTGGCTAGGATATTCATTTTCCTCCTAGTAGAGGTATGGTGTTGTGTTTTGGATTTAAACCATAACAAGAGGAAAGCATTTAATAAGAAAAAAAAAAAAATAATTACCACTAAAAAGATGTAGGCTTTCTCCCCCTCACTTTTACTGCCTGAAAAAGAGAGTAAGTCCAAGATCAGCTTTAGAACCCTGTATGAGAAAACACAGGAACATTGCTGTAGCTAAGCTCACATAGTTGCTAAAATAAGTGTTACCAGTAGATGACAGCAAATACTAGTTTTCTGCCACATTTTATTTTCTTTGGTTTGTATAATCTTTGAAAACGCTCCCCTCCCCCAACCTTCCTACCCCCCCCCATGGAGAAAGTTTTTTTTTCTGTCTTCAACGATGTAAATCATAGTGAATGATGTTAAAAAGCTCAGTTTCACAAACACACTTGATTTCCTAGCTCTGTGCTGCTCCTCTTGCACATGAGATTCCCAAACCAGGTTCCAAAAGGCTGGAGCAGCCCTCACAACGAGAGGTGCCCTGTCACGCAGCGGCATTTTGGCCTTCGCAGGAAAATGTTTGATTGCCGCTGCATTGCACAGCAACTGGTGCTGCTCCCCGATGATGAATGTTGGTTTATGATGGACAGAGGTTCGTCTGACTCCTCAGCTAAGGGTGACTGAGGCAGATGGGCGGTCTCTTTCCACCTCCAGAGAAGAAGGAGCAAGTCGCTTCACTAAGAAAAGTAGTGCCACTGCAAGGCCCAACGGCCTTGTGAAACTGCCCCACGTCTCTCTGTGTGTGTAGAAAGACTGAAAGTCCCATTAAAGTGACTACAGAAAATGTGCAAGCTCCTTCTTCTGGCACTGAGGCTCAGCCTGCCTTTCTTGGCTGCAGATCTGTGACTGGACAAGGCCCAGGCTTTGGGTGACGGCCCAAGGCATGGACAGGGCTCAGTCCCACCCAGACCCAGCATCCTGGGGCACACGTGGAAGAAGGAGGGTAACACCAGTCGGTGGCAGTAAGAAGCACAGGCCCTGGCAGCCCGGTGCCACAGCCAGTGCCCACCCGTGTGAGCATGGTGTGTTTTGGGAGCAGGCAGCACCCCTCCAGCTGGGGGGAGCACATGGTGTTCCCCAGCCGGTGGACTGTAAAGCCCATTTTATTGGGCTGAATAACAAAGTTCTGGGAATGGGTGTTCTGACACACTCAACCAGAGCAATAGGAAAACACAGCTGCCCATGCTGTGTTAGCAAAAGAGCCAGAATCCGTTCTCCTCCCACCTCTCATCCCCTCCATCACACTCTGCATCATGAGGTCTTTTGTAACATAAAGACTGTGAGGATCGGGTAAGAAAACAGTTCACCCAACAGACTGGAGGGTAGGAAGTGGCCAGGATCAGTTTCAGCAGAAATGCAAAGTGATGCGGCACCTTCTGATTAAAATGAGGTGGTGGGCTTCCTTACCGACCTGAGCGGGGCACGGGAGCAGATCCTACTCCTCAGAAAACTTGGCTCCCACCACTCCTGGGAAACACAGGGATGGAGAGATTTGGAGTTCTGGTTAGTCGTATTGCAGTGCTTACTCTGAATTGGCTAATGTGAATTATGTAGTGTATTTTTTCACAGTAAAACCATTTTCTTTCCTTTCCCCTGTAGCTAATAGATGCAACATGGAACACTGATGTCAGACACCCCGTGAACCTGTCAGTATTTGTTTTTCAGACAATTGTAATTTATGTATTTTACAGTCAAAATTATAGAATTCAATTCTTAAAAAATTTTGATAGGTAAAGGAAAAAAAAAAAAGAAAAAAGAAAAAAAAAAACTTATATGTTCTTATGGTCAAAAAAGACAGCTATATGATTGCCTTTTCTGACTTTTTTCTGACTTTCCTGCATGTTAAATAACTTGTGATATATCTTAGAATCACAGAATTTGGAAGACACTCACAGGGATCGAGTCCAGCTCCTTGCTCCACATAGGACCACCACAAAATCAAACCACAGAATCACAGAATATCCAGAAACTCCAGGAATACGATGTCAAGGAAAGTGAACTACAATGCATACTCTGGAAGGATGTCCTTCTTTGATTTAAGCAGCCTAGGTAACTGAGACTTCAGGTTGCTTCGAATAGTTAAATATCTGAAAGAGAACATCTTTCCACTACTCAGTCTTTGTATAGATCCAGCCCTTGGCTTCAGCTCTGGTTGTGACCTTGTCTGCTGAACTGAGAACACTTCAGTCTGTGAAAAGCCTCTCACAGCAATGATAAAAGTAACTGGCAAAAGGTAGAGTGCAAAAATAAAAGCATGGTGTTAAAAAGGAGAGTAAATATTAAAAGCATAAGCCTTCAGGTGACTGTGACAACTAAAGGTTACTTCTAAGGCTGTGAATTCCTCATAGCTCCTGGCAGAAACAGAGAGCAGCACACTCTGCTTTGGGAAGGTGTGAAATTTCTAGTTTCTTCACCACATTGCACAATTTCCCACGGGATATTTCAGTATGAGCAACAGAAAAAGATCTGACAAACTTAAACATGCTACCTTCCAAAAGTCTGATCTTTATTTTATACTCTCTTCTGACAAAGAGAGGTTCCAGAAAACATGCTGCTTTTAAAAATTGCCTCTGCTAACAACAACACAAAGAGAACTGTGCAGTTTCAGTGGCATGCCAGGCTGTGGATGGCTCCTGGCCCACAGTGGGCACAACTTCCTAATGAGCGAGGCATGACCGCTCACTGCTGCGCCCCTCCTGGGACCCCCACAGGGAGAATCATAGAAGGGAACCATTAAGGTTGCCCCACAGGTGGACCTGCCCCTGTGCTCACACCCTCTACGTGCAGTCTCGGTCATGAACCTGCAGATAACACCTCACTGTAACACAGGTTCCATGCCAGGATGAGGGCATCCTTGATGTTACTGCCAGTAACACAAAGCAAATAGCAGAAATGTTCGACCATCGGTTCATAAAACATAGTTTTTATTGGAGCTCAGACATACACTTTTCTTCTTTTCATTCTGGTGTGATGCAAGAGCAAGCACCCCAACCTGGACATATGAGACAAGAAAAAGTCCCTCCAACAAATACCCCCCCCCCAAAAAAAAAAAAAGAATACAATAATCTTCGTGGGAGGAGAAAATAAGGAGCAGACACTTGACAGTACTACTAATGTGTCAATAGAGTAGACAAGGACACAACGTGGCAGGCAAACTGATGGCCAGCAAGGATAAAGAGGTGCACCATCTTACCCTGCCTGACAATCTTTCTCTGGGCCAGTGGCTCCCTTCAGACCTATGGGAAGAAACAGTTTATAGGAGACAGTGGGAGATAAGAGCTGCTTACAGCGACTAAGTTCCTCTAGAGCTACCTTTGCAAAAGGTAAGGGCCTGCAGAGGAAGAGTAATAGCAAGATGAGCTGTACAGAAGTAGATTGCCAGCTGCAGAGATGCCCCACTAATCTCATCAACACAAACCAGGATATTGACAGTACTTGTGGAATCTCTGGAATACGTGATTGGGAAGCAAATGTAAAAAGAATGCATTTAAAATGTGATGATAAATGTGTCAGGTATCCATGGCTTGCTCTGTTATGATTCGTGGTTGAAGTTCTTATTAGATCTCTGGACACTTTTCAAGTTGAAAATGAACAATCAGTTGGGCACTTCAGAGAATATCAATTCATGTTTCTAAAAGTAACAGACTTCTTTAAGTATATAAGGTATTTATATGATAAAAGATATTTGATTGCTTTCTCTACCGAAGAAAAAAAAAAATCTTTCTTTTTATAAACTTCAGTTTATAGTTTATGGAAATTTCTTCAAGCTACCTAAAACTACTTACGAATCAATTCATGTCTGCTTGTCTATCCACTGGTAGATTGAAGGCCTCCATCTTAATGGACACATGACTTCATATATTAATCAAATGAGACAACAGCACCTGGCAGTGAAAGATTAACCATGTCTACCATGTCTCCTTCCTCAGGTCTTTGGAAACTGATTGTTTCCCTAAGGTCATTTGTAATAGTAGAAGCAAAATAAATTTTTAAGGCTGCTATTCAGGAAATGGCCTTTTATTTTTACTTTGATGCACCTTTTCTCCTGAAGTGCACATTATGTGCATGACACATGACACACCCTAGTACTGAAAACTAACTTCTGTTTACCCTATTCTTCAGACTGTTCACCGCATATGCTATAATTATCTTTTTGAAATATTTTTCATTTCATCTTATTTCCTTCCATCCACTCTCTTTGCATTCACCCAGCTGTGGTGAACTTACCCTTCTAAAGCTAGGAGGTGTACAATGGCTGCTAGAGAAGTTAGAGAGCAAGAAATTCAGCTTTATCTTCTACAAGCAAGGAGCACAGAAATAGAAACTTCAAACGAGGTTTACAAGGCAGCAACTGCAGTGTCAGAGAATGCCATAACGAATTGTGCAGGGCAGTCTGGATAACACAGTGAAAATATCCTGTCCCCAGCCCCCCAGACTCCTGAACTGGCAAGGTCAAGGCCTAGACCTATGAGGCCAGTTACATCTTTCAACACTTCAACTACATGACTGAACGCTGCAGAATTATGTGGACTACATTTTCCAGGTGGTCTTGATCCTCTGCTATTTATGTGTTTTTAATTTCATTTAATACAACAGATTTAGTGTTTCCCAGGATAGATGGGTGTGTTCAAAAATCAAGGAACAAGTAGAAAGTAAGGCAAGAGAGTTTAATAGTAAACATTAAATACTTTTCATTGTAATTACATGACTGGTAAAAATCAATACTACTTAATTTCCAGTACTAAAGGAGAATTAGCAGGAGAAAGGACTGGGTTTCAAACATGTTTACTACATGCCTATTGGAATTTATGGCTTCTTTTCACATACGGCATAATAAAGTCTTTTGCATATCTGTATTTCTGCAAATCTAAACGATGTTACTGATGTAACTTAAGCCAAATCCAACATGCTAGAATTCTTTGTGCTTGATTCTAGACCATAACAGCTAATCTTTAAGCAGTAGGTGAGCTGGATTTCTCAGGAGAACTTCAGAGTTTAACTGTTCTGTAAATTGCAAAATGAAAACAGAGCAACTACACTGCATGTCATTCTGTCTTTTTTATCATAAAAGGCTCACAAGGTTAAGCAGAGGCTTTTCAACTTGTTTTTATAGTCTGATGTCAACCGTTTCCATGTTTCTCTGTCACAGTGGCTATGAACACTTCTTTGATGATGGCCTTATCCAAGTGCCTACCTGTAAAGAGAAAAAAAGGTTAGCTATTTGTATTTCACAAAAAGCTATGTATGAACCTGCAAGTCTTCTCAACAAAGAAAATATTTATTTTATCTATGAGTGAAAACAGAACTTTGTTAAAATTAAACTGCTGGTAACAAGCTTAATTTTACATTTTACGTGCAACAACGCATTTCGAGCTGTACGTGGAAAAGAGGACAGAAAACTAGGAGGTTTTTTGGTCATAAAAACACTTTACAAAGCACAGCATCAAGCGGGAAGTAAGAAACATACAACCTCAGTGTTAACAGCTTATCAGAAAGAAATCATATTTGGTACACTTCAATGACTATAATCACCTTCCTCACCACTAATAAATGTGCTCAAATATCAACCTTTTCCCAACAACATGATTAGGTTTAAGTATTTTCAAAATAGTCTTCAATATGCCTATATAATTAATGAATACTTATTATGTTTTTTTATATCACTAAAAAGGATAGCACAGATTCTCCTCAGCTGCAATAAAAAAAAACAGGAGTTCTTCACATATAAACCTTGGAGTGAAGGTTATACTGAACATCCTCTCACTGCTATTATTCTGGTTAGTTTAGGCTGGTTGCTTTTTACTGGACAGGTCCCAGGACCGCCTGCTGAAAGAAACAGCTCCTTAAACTTACACAAAGAGATGCATAATTTATTCTTACCTATTAAAACCAGTCTATTTGTTCTCTTCTCATCTTCCTTCCATTCTACTGCAGTCTCCTCCAGATCGTAGAGCTCATGGACACCTTGGACTATCACTTGATGAGATTTGCCTTGAATAGATACCAGTCCCTTATCAGAAAAATAACTGTTAGGGTATATAAACAAACCTTTACAGAGGAAGTACTTAAGGGAGGGAAAAACAACTTTGAAAGTAGGCAAACAGGGAAAAGTATTTTTGTAAACTATGAACCAGTTAATCCAAATGACAATGAAGTACAGTCACCTCTTGTAACATCCATTTTCCTATCTTTTTAGTTTGTTGAAGACTAACAATTACACTCTGACATACTCTACCTGTATTTGGACAGTTACCTACTACGTTTGAGTAAAATAAAACATCATCTGCTACCATGTCACTTTAAACATATGCATGAGGTATGTTCCTACAAAAGACTGATTGCCAGCCAAAGATGATGTAAAATGAGCAAAAATGTTGAGATTATTCTGATTAAGCTCTCATGCTTAGCATTAACACTATTCTGAAAAAGAACCTCTGGAAACTGGAGAAAGAACTAACATCTATGAGGTAAAATGGATTTAGCAATGGGATTAGAATGGATTCCTGCCAGATTGAGCCCATTAACCCACATTCTAGAAGTTGCAATAAAGAGTTTTCATCACTTTGTGTAAAAATTTGTAAAATATTCTAGCATTCTGTCAAACACTTCTACGCTTCCCTAAGGAAGTAAAAAAAATATTGAGCTAAGAATATTTTGTGTAAAAAATAACTGCATTTGAGAAACTAGTTGGAATTCTACAACCATCACTGCCAAAAGGATTATCACTGCAGGCAAAATATAGTCACAGAATCATAGAATATCCCAAGTTGGAAGGGACCCATAAGGATCATCAAGTCCAACTCCTGGCACCACACAGATCTACCCAAAAGTTTAGACCACGTAAGTACACGGTCCGATCACTTCTTAAATTCAGACAGGCTTGGTGCAGTGACTACTTTACTGGGGAACCTGTTCCAGTGTGCAACCACCCTCTCGGTGAAGAACCTCTTCCTCATGTGCAGCCTAAACCTCCCCTGCCTCAGTTTGACACCATTGCCACGGGTCCTATCACTGGTGTTTACAGAGAATAGGTCACCTGCCTCTCCACTCCCTCTCGCAAGGAAGTTGTAGACCGTGATGAGGTCCCCCCTCAGCCTCCTCTTCTCCAGGCTGAACAGGCCCAGTGACCTCAGCCACTCCTCATACGTCTTCCCCTCTAGGTCCTTCACCATCTTTGTCGCCCTCCTCTGGATGCTCTCCAACAGTTTAATGTCCTTCTTGTACTGTGGTGCCCAGCACTGCACACAATATCTGAGGTGAGGCTGCACCAGCGCAGAGCAGAGTGGGACAATCACTTCCCTTGATGCACCCCAGGATACGGTTGGCCCTCCTGGCTGCCAGGGCACACTGTTGGCTCATGTTCAGCTTGCTGTCAACCACAACCCTCAGATCCCTCTCTGCAGGGCTGCTCTCCAGCATCTCGTCACCCAGTTGGTACGTATAGCCAGGGTTTCCCCGTCCCAGGTGCAGCACCCAGCACTTGCCTTTGTTAAACTTCATGGGGTTGGTCATCGCCCAGCTCTCCAATCTGTCCAGGTCTCTCTGCAAGGCCTTTCCACCCTCATCAGTGTCTACAATGCCTCCAAATTTGGTGTTGTCAGCAAATTTGCTCAGAACACCTTCTAGTCCTACATCCAAATAATCTATAAAAACATTGAAGAAGACTGGCCATAAAATGGAGCCTTGAGGGACCCCACTAGTGACCATCTGCCTGCCTGACGTGGCCCCATTTACCACAACCCTTTGAGCCCTGCCTGTCAGCTCACCCATCCTATGATGTTTTTGTTTAGTTGTATGATGGACAGTTTGTCCAGTAAGATCCTATGGGAAACAGTGTCAAAAGCCTTGCTGAAGTGCAAAAAGATCACATCATTTGGTTTCCCTTGATTGACAAGACAGGTGATCTAAACATGAAAGGAACTCCTGCCAACTCCTGGGCCAAAATCCTTACCCCTCTCTAAGAGGGGCACATCCCATCTAGTGCCAGCAGGCCCGGTGTTGTGTAGACCTTCCCGTGACTGAAGAACCCAAAGTTCTGCTGCTTGCACCAGTCCCGAAGCCACGTGTTAATTGAGCCCGATTGTCAGCATTGATCCTCCCTATCAGAAGGACAAGAGGCAAACACAACCTGTGCCCCTGATCCTTTAAGTAGTCGTCCCAAAGCCCTAAAGTCCCTTTTGATTGCTCTCAGACTTCTCCTTGCTCCCTCGTCAGTACCAGCCTGAAAGACCAGCAGCGGGTAGCAGTCACTGGGCAGTACCAGGCTTTCTTAGCGAAGTCTCGCACCCGAGCCCCGGGGATGCAACAGACCTCCCTGTGGGTTGGGTCGGCATATTGGGCCCTCTGTCCCTTTCAGAAGGGAGTCCCCCATGACAATAACCTTTCTGTCTTTCTTGACAGACGACGTAGCAATGCGGGGGCAGGCTGCCGTGCCTCAGGCACCCTCTCCAGCTGGGATAGGCTTTTGTCTCCTTCATTGTTCTGACTGTTGTGTTCTAGACCCTCATACCTGTTACATACAGGTAGATGGGAAGGTGAGGTGGGCAGGGACAGGGCTCACCTACCACCCTGAACAGGAACCTGCCCCCATTCCCCCCCTTGGCCTCGGTCTCCTCCTGCTGCCTGGCGGTATGAGGGAACTTTTGTCTTCTGCATGGCAGGAGACACTTGGCTGGAGAGGCCGCAAGAGATGCGGAGGCCATGGTTTTCTGCCTGGTTGATGCCATGGCCAGGCTTTTCACAAGATGGTTACAAGTACGGATGGGAAAGACCACTGTGGAGAAGCATCGAGGGGCCCTCCCTGCTCACCCTGCCTGCGTGAACTGCCATACAAACTGCTGCGCCCCTCCTTTATATTTTACATAAATATAAAAGCAATAAAATTTGGAACCCATTCTATAATTAATTATTATTTTGCTTTGGTGTGTTTGTCTATGACTGAGGCTCAGCACACAGTATGTTATTTGCCTCAGATCTCCTGAAGAATTACTTTGATTCCAATGCTCAGTACAACAAAAGCATACTTGAGCTCAGCAGTACTGTTTTCAGACAGCTTAAAATGCATCAGTGGCTAGTTTCTTCTATTTTTTATGAGGGGGAAGACAAGAATCTTCAGTTTTGATGCTGAAAGATCAAGGAATACAACCTTTCTTCCAATGAAGTAAAAATAATTATGTTACTACCCATGACACACAAGTATTCTCAGAAAATAAACCAGAGTTTACATGTTACATTTTACAGAAATACATGTTTTCATGTATTTCTCACACCTTACTAAATTACAAACTTGATTTTTACTTTTTAATGACAGTGCTTTGGTTTAAGGAAAATGAAAATATATACTAATGTAAGTAATGTTCCAGCAATTCGTGTCAACAGAGGGCTTGAAGTGTAAACCTTGAGTCTCTGATGTCCGGGGATAAGAGAACAAAGGGGTTTCAGAATAACTGCTAACTACTGTGACTATTGCATGGGACACTACACAAGTCTCTGATATCTGGCCAAGAGATTAAGGAGAAAGGGGAAGCTGAAGGACGACTAAAAGAAGCTTGCATGGGACGCTGTGCAAGTCTTTGACATCCAGCCAAGATGGACAAAGGAGGACAAGGACAAAGCCTGGGAGGAAGACTATGAGCCTTCAGCACGAGAGACCCCCAGAGGGACCACTGGAAATTGATACACGTGTGCCAGTGGGAGGGTTTGGATTCCAGAAACTGGTTATAATAACCCTGCCTTTTCTAGAAGTAGCAATGAATATGTATTAGTCTAGGAGCATAAAAACCAGCTGCCTGATGTAACCAGTGTGCGTGTTGGAGGAGCCCAGACTCCCCGCACACCCAGCACTGTTTACTTGCCTTTTATTAACCCCATAAATAAATCTTAGAAAGCTAAATTGACTCAGAATTTGTAACACTAAAATGTCACCTATGTTCACCTCAAAACCATGCAACAGACTCACATATGAAGTGTTCATGAAGACAAATACACTTATGTATGGATCTCATCTTTAAAACTGTGGTTTGACATATTAGAAAAAGTTTTTAAGTGTAGACCATAACTAGTATTGTGCTGCTTTGTTACGCTGAATTCAACTTCTATATATTATGTCAATAACTATAACTGCAGATAGCAACCTATAGTTACAACCCTAGGTAAGGAGACATTCAAGTGAGACGGATGAAACTTTTTGGAGCAAAGCAGGTAAAAAATGAACGACTGACTTTGTTATGTCCTGCTCATTAATCCTGCCACACTTTGGTGTTGGGGATGTTTGGGATTGCAAGTCTTCCCTCTGAGTTCACAACATGTAGGATCAATGTTTGCCTCTCTGTCAGCTATCTCCTTTTGAGTTGCTCCACTGGCCAGCAAAAAACAAGCTGTCTACACATGGAAGAATGACAAATTGCTATTCTCCCTTTTGTCTGCTCTGCTTCAGCAGTGCCTTTGACAGCTCTGTAACTGACAGTACATTTTAAATGTAAAAGAAGCAAAGGACAAAACAAATAAGTTGGTCATTTCAGACTAACCTTCAGTCTTATAACATCCATGGCATGTCCAGTCCTATCTTTCACATTCTTCTCCCATAGAAGATTCTATAAAGAGGAAAAATGTTTTCATGAACAGAATAGTGTGGGATGACTTTCTATAAAAAGTTACAATGACTGTTCAGTTGACCGTGATGTATTATTTACCTGTATAAAGAGATTCAGGTTTTCTTCTTTTATGTCTCCTAGAACTTCAAATGTTACTGTCATTATACCCTGCAAATGGAAAGACCAAGTTATTATTACTGAATGGCATGAACTTTTCAATACATTAATTTTAAAAGTTAGCAATCTTTATAACTTGGCCTTATAGAAAAGAAAGTAACTTTCTACTACTCCTTCCCAAATTACAACAAAATAAAATAATATCTCCATTTCTCTTTTGCCCTAATATACTGGATTTCCTGGTTCTGCCTGGGTGTGCACTTAGGGGGCATAACCAATAGTCGAGACAGGCTAATACCATCATATTCTATGGCAAAACTCTTTGCTGTAGGTGATGTTAGGTCTCAAAGAAAGCCTAACAATTTTAATGCTTAAAGGTTAGTAATACTTAAAGGTTAGTAAGCTCAATCACATAACTGAGTTTAAAAATGCTATTTTCTTGGCCTACTAATCTTTGTCATTTCTGCTTCTCATCACATTTCTATCAGATGAAAAATCACTAATGTACTTTTAATCTATGACTACTTTCATAAAAAGCTTTTTACAAATACACTGTGTAGGAATAGATCCTGGAAGTAAGGATGTCTGAAGTTTTATTCCAAAACAACCATCAGCTACCACTCAAAGCAGCTATTGTAACAGAAGATGACAGTAAGAATGCAGTTTGGAATTTACATTTTGTTCAAAAATAAAGGAAATCGTACATGGTCTATTCTGAAAATAGTAGGACTCATTTTTTTTTAAAAAAAAATTTATTCATGAGAATAGAACAAACGATTAGAATTTTTCAAAGTAGCACCCTTCCACATCTACACACTGCTGCCAACGAGTTTTCCAGTTTTCGTACACCTCCAGGAACGCCTGGACCGGAATGCCGTTTAGCTCGTCACGGCTTCTTGAAGCACTTCTACCGATGCGTGATGCTTCCCCTTGAGCGTCGATTTTATTCTCGGGAATAGAAAAAAGTCTGGTGGGGCCAAGCTGGGGCTGTAGGGGGGCTGAGGCAGCGTTGCCACCTTGTGCTGGGCAAGATACTCCACTATGCGGAACGCTGTGTGGCTCGGCGCGGTGTCATGGTGCAGCCGCCAGTTGTTGACGATGGCTAGGCGGACACGAGCAATGCGTTTTCACAAGTCTTGTGAGGACTTCCACGAAAATTTTTCACTCACGACACATTTTCGTTGGTCTTGCTGGTCGAAGGGCGTCCGGAGCAGTCGTCGTCTTCCACTCTTTCGCTACCTTCTCGGAACAGCTTGTGCCACTCAAAAACACCCGATCTACCCATGGCAGCATCACCGTAGGCCTCCTTAATCATGTTGTGAGTCTCTTTGCCCGTTTTACCAAGCTTTACACAAAATTTGATCGCGTATCGCTGCTCCAGTAAACGCTCCATGATTCTCCGTGACGAGGCGTTTCCACAGGTGTTCACAGTACAAGCGACCTGCTCTCTTCAACAGCCGACTGCTGATTTTTCCCAGCGCTCCCAATATCCCCCTCCACCGATCCTGCGCGTGCAGACCACCTCTCATCCGCCCGTTCGCCCAGGAAAAAGCCAGTCCTACTGCTTTCAGAACAGACCAAGTATGTCTTAATGTATTTTTGCAAGTAAAACCTCTCAATGGCACACAAGCACACAGAGAATGTTTTCTGTACAACCTAAAAACCTTTCAGATTAGTACTTTCAGAAGATTGCTCGTTCAATTTAACAAAAACAAATAAAAGCAACAAGCAGCAAATCTACATGTTTATCCAATGCCCAAGAAATCTAACCAAAACATCCAACCACTAACACACTTCAGGCAACTTCAAAACAAGTTAGACAGCAGTGCACTACTTTGTGCATAGTGCAATATTGTTTCCGTTGACCTTCCACATAAAGTCAATAAACACACTTTATCACCCAACAGGGACTTACAGCCTGCTGTGAGAGAAGTGTTCTGCTCTCATTTATGCCTCATTTGTCCCACTAGCTATCTTAAAACTGTGGTTGTTGAACTAAACAGAGATAATAACAATGAATTCTGTTTCCTGCTGGTTGAATGGCTCCACGCTACAAAACCAGCAAGAAATCTCCATAACGATACAAGTATACTATGAAAATTGCAACATTCAGGAAGGCTTCTACTTTACTTCAGACTTTTATTACAATAGCTGAACACTGTTAAGACTAACTTAAGTTTTTATTAAACAAAAACCTACGAATTTAAGATTCAGACCATAATTATAGTTCAGCAAGAAACTCTTTTTATGTTTAATCTTTAGTTCCAAGAGAAAACTATAACCATCTTTCATATTTTTGAGACTATCAATTTCACAGTCAAGACTTGCAGTTCAAAAGGAAAACTACAGGTATCATATGTATTGCATTTTAACTTGAAAATTAAATTCAATCATAACTTTCTAAAAAGATGGCACACTTTTCTAATCTACTGCATAAAAACAGAAGTTTTTTGTTGTTGTTTTTGTTTTTTTCCAGCCCCTTAGAGAGCAGTTGTAAGTGGGTGAAGTGCACCAGACTGGGGATACCTTGAAGATATTGGTGGCCCATCACTAATCCATAGAGCAGGGTACCTGTACATAGACTGGGGTCGTGGGTGACCCACGGAGCAGGCGTACCAAGGAACTGAGCAGTGAAAAAAAAAAACATTACGCAAAAAAAACAGCAGAAAGCTACAATGCCATATCTCCATTCCTCCATGGAGAAATGTTGACAGACTCAAAAACCTACTGGGAAGGTAAAAAAATTTCACACTTGGAAACAGAGAGGATAGGTGTTTAATCATCCATGCATTTCTTTTGCTCCAAACAAGGTATCTGTAACTTTTTACTAACACAATATTACGTAAAGTCCCCAACAACAGTTGGGGAACAGGTTGCCTAGAGAAACTGTGGACGCCCAGCTTAACATCCCTGGAGACATTCAAGGCTGGATGCCCAGGCTGGACAGGGCTTTGAGCAACCTGGTCTCGTGGGAGGTGTCCCTGCTCATGGCAGGGGGGTTGGAACTAGGTGATCTTTAAGGTCTCTTCCAACCCAAACCGTTGTGTGATTCTCTAACTGATGGGAGAGGTATGTTGAGCTCAATTCTTCCAAACACACAAACATGACCTCTGTCAAGGGACTGGGCAGAAGTGGCAATTTGTCCGCAGTTGAACTACCACTTGACTTTACAGGAGAGGGATAAAGGACCCTGAAAAGGTTTTATCACTGAAGCCATAGCTCCAAAGCTCTGACAACTAGACACTGCCACTCTTGACCCTCTCATATTACCTATCACCTGATAAAACAGTGGGACATCATATAGGCACCTGAGTGACCAACAGCATCGTACTATGGGGAGCATGCAGGTGCAAGATCAGCCTCACAGCAAAGCATGACAAAACTGCAGCAGCAAAAGTGAGGGTAGGGGATGAAAAAGCTCCCTGCTCCCACCCTACAAACTGTGACTTAGAGGTGGCACGACATCCTTCAAAGATCTAGATACCTGAGTTAAGTAATTGCAAGCTGTGGAGAGAGATCTGAGCTCAGTTAGAATGGTTACAGGATGTGGAGCAAACTCTGGGAAATTTAAGTCATAGGATGTATCATTTTACTCCTCGACTGGGACAATGTCCATGCTGTATCCAATGAACATTGTTCACCACACATTTTGAGTCCTGGATGAAACTACAGCTCCTAGACCCAGATATACTGGATATCCAGTAGTGGTGTTACTCTTTGTTTGTACCTTATAATGGTTTTGTTTGAGTGTTTGTTCATATACTAAGGTATGGTGAATAAACTAAACAGTTGAGTCTCTCGGTTTGGTGTTTTACAAAAACAGGGCCTAAACCTTGGAGTAAGCAATACTAATCTCTGTAACATACAGCAAAGGGGAAAAGGGTGAAGTCTACAATAGAAATAAGCAAACCATTCCAGTGCTAACCCCCACAATCCAGCTGAAGGAGTATGCAGTGGAATTTTTCAAGTGTATATTCAGACTGCTACAATTTTATACCTACGCTCCGATTCTTAGAGGCAACAGGTGAAACATGATGTAGGTATAAACTCAATTCCTGATGATATGAGGGGTGGAGCATATAACCAATGTATGTTCACAGAGCTCTTAAACAAGCGTTTCTAATATGTGTAAGCTTACAAGACTTGTGTAGCAGGAGGCTGCACTGGTTAGGCATTGGGTGGAGGCCATCAGCTGCCTGGTGTCTCTTAGGACCTGTTCCAGTCAGCTTTGAAACGGTACAACAGTGAAAAATAATATAAAAATAAACAATCCCACTAAATCTTTAGCCATTCAGAGAAGTATATGGCACCCTGTTTCAATAGAGAGAGGCAACTCCAGTCATGTGGGACAGCAGATTCTTTGGAGGAGGCATGGCATGCCAAAGGGGTTGGTTACACATACCCCTGAGGGATTGCAGCCTGTGCTTTATCCACAGCACAAGAGAACTCCACAGGGACTGGGGCACTTGGGTGAACCAGAGGGCAGTAGCACCACAGAACACTGAGGCACAGGAAAGTCATTGAACAAACATCCCCAACCTCTTATGCCAGTCATTGCCTTGCTGGATGAGCTTGATTTGACTAAGTGCAACCCCCTGAAAAAATATAGGGCAAGCTGAGGGAGAGAAGGGCAGAGAAAGTGGTATTCATTTAAGTATTTGTGTAACTGTTTTGAAGTCATTTTTTTTGTTGGTGTTGGTGTTGCTTTGTTTGTTGTTTTGTTTTGTTTTTCCCAGTACTACATCAGTAGGCTTTTGTTGCCTCACAATAAACTCTATAGTTCCCTTTAAAAACAACAACAAAAAAAAGTTCTGCTTTTGGCAAGGTTAAGCAGAACAAAACAAAAAGACTGATTATAGCAGTTGGAAAACTAAAAAGAAACCAGAAAAAAAAAGAAAATGAAAAGCGAGCTTTACTAGTAAAACCTGTGTATCAAGAATAAGACAGATGCTTGAAAGCAGCATTTAGCCCAAAACTGTTTGTATTCTGTAGGGATGACAGACCAGATCCTTTTTCCTTGAGCCTGTGTTAGAAATCCAATTTGCAAACCACAAAGAATACTTCATTTGCTCTGTATATAAACAAAAGCCATGAAGGCAGAAATGCATTTTACAGCTGTATTATGCAAGCATCATTTTATTACACACAGGGATTCTGCATTGACATAAATACTCATTGGGTTGCAGATCTGGAAAAACAAAACATTTTAGATTTTGACAAACTAAAAATAGTATCAACATAACTGTTCCTAATTTCTACCATACACACAATAGTAAAATTTACAACTAGTTTAGGGTAAAATCTACTTGACTGTTACAAGTCAAACTGTTGCTATTCCTTGTGAAAGCTATGGGTAGCACTCAGGAATATACACCTCCTTAACCTCCTAGTTAAGTTTTAATAAAGCTTCAAAAAAATGCAGAGTACATACATAGACTATTTGGACAGAAAACTTACAGGATAGAGATCTGCTATAAATTCATGACTCAATTCTGCAAATATTGAAGAGTAGTAGTGTTTGTCTGTTTCAATAACAGTCTCCAATATACAAAAATAGATGATGTGACTGCCTGCAACAGTGTAACTCTAAGCTATTTCTGATAGTGTAATTTACTATATACATTTAGAATGTATCCACAAAGTACACTGCAGCAGACATTCAATGTAATCTTCTGGAGATATTAAAGCATTCTACTACCTAACTGAAACTTTCTGAAAAAGTAAGATGGATTAACCTGCAGTGGTTGCAATTATCCTGAACAATCTTCTTACAAACAGACTAAAGCAGTTTCTTTGGCAGTTACCTTATCTAAATGCGCACGTGTTGTCTTCACATGCTCAAGCTTTTTCTGCAAACTGAAAATAAGTAAAATTAAATGTCACATTTTAATAGCATGGATATAATATCATTATTTTGAAGTTTACAAAAACTCTTCAGCATTGCGGAGCAAAACTAAAATACCAAATATCAGTTGAACTGTTAATTTCATATTAATCTCAGAATAGTTACATTTAATTACATGGTTTGATCTCATTAATGGTTTGTGTTAGAAAGTTTGTCATAGTTTGACTGTTGGCTTTCCACTCAACACATTACTGTTAAGATTACATTATCTTATTTTTATCATGTACAAAACAGTAACAGATTTTTTTTCTACATGAGAAGAAATTTTAAAGAAGTGTGACCTATCTGGTCAACATATTCTTGTTTGAAGTTGTAGGATTAAAGCTGAGCATCAGCTAAAGAGCTAACAAAGTTCTCTAATCACAACAGACTAACTGAACTGTCAGACTGACTTAAAAGATTTGGAGATCCATTTTTATAAACAGGCTAACAGTATGGCCCTCTAATTCGTTTTTAGCAATCACGTGTCAGTGTGTAACTTCTATTGAGAATAGGTAACAGTTTGAATTAAAAATACTGTCGTGAAACAGCAAATCACATTAAACACATTGAAGTTCACAAACATTTTTCTGACCAGAACAGTTGCAACACTACACAGTACTCACTCAAAAATAAATTCATTGTAACTATGGATTCAACATCATGGAGTCACACACTGTACGGGTGTGCTGAGGTTCAAATGCAAGAAAACACAACCTCAGAAAGAAACTATTTTACATGAAAAAAGGATCACGATATTGGCGCTGTGACTTCAGTCACAGCAAGACGACAAAGATTTTTGGAAATTTGATGAAAGCAGACAGAGAAAATAAGTGAAATTTGTACACTGGTAAGAATGAGCTTAAAAAGGTTAAAAAAGTTCACATGCAAATACACTGTTTAGCCAAGTTAATCATCCAGGTGTCTTGACAGTGATAGAGTTCAAATTCTTCTCCTTCCTTTTTGGGTTCTTCAAAAAACAAAGCTCATGAATAAACAATCAAAATACCAATTTTAAATTATGCTCACAAGCACACCAGCACATTTTATACTTTTGTAGTTTTATGAAAGAAAATAAAAAAAAACTTCTGGTGTCAGGGGGATGTTTATTACTGTCAGCGATACAGAACTTTAAAAAATAAACGTAAGTATTAAATTATCACTCAAGGCATTCACCAATCTGAAATATGCCTGAATTCCTTGTTTGTTTGTTTAAAACATAAACACAGATTAAAATAAGCATACTGTTAACTCTTACTATAAGTATTTATACTTCAAATAATAACAATGTTGAATATTCCTTTGTGTATGAGCAAAAGTAGGAGCTTGCATCATTAGTGCAAGCAGGGAAAACTAACTAGAATCCGTCCATGTAGTGGACATCAGTTACTAAAAGTACTTTAGCAGAAAAAAGTACAAAACTATTGCCTGTGAGAATAGTTTTCAATTAAATTAGTACTATAACACTAACTGAAAATACTACATGCCAGCTTCTATTCAACTCCAGTGAACAGCACACTTTTACTGCAGAGCGTGTCTTCTAATTTAAAACTGGTCTTCTCTTCAACATTAAAGAACCTGGGGACTTCAGGGAACCAGGAACACATTATACCATTTGCAGTGGCTTTGAATGCTACGGCACTTCAGTCCCTCTTGGTTTTCTGTGAAAACTAAGGTCTCCAGTTCTTCATGATATGAAGTGAGAAAATTTTTCAAAATCCTCTTAAGTTTTAAGAGAAACTTACAAGTCAGAAAAAAAAAAAAAAATCAAAATCTGATTCATTATTAGTAGTATTAAAGCAAAACTTAAAAACCTTTTGTTGCATGCATGTCTAGTGGAAAAAAACACTATTATTTATAAAGTGACAATGTTACACAACTGACCGAACTAGAACTTGTACCAGAAACTCTGATGTAGTCTTTGCCAGCGTATGTCTATTTCATGCCTGCATTTATACAATAAACATTATTTCTGATAAACAACAGTGGAATTCTTGCCATACCTTATTCCAGATAGACTGTCAAAAGCATGCAGGTCCAACACATTGGAGAGATCAACTCTACACAAGGGAACAACAACAAAAAAAGAAAGCTTTGTATTTTTACTGCACTTAACCATTTTGCATAGTTCAATGAATCATCTTTGAAATAGCTAGTGTGTTTTTTTTTCTGGTTTATTATTCTAATGCCACCAAACACAAGCAGCTAGCCTTAATTTTGGACTTTGGTGGTTGGTGTTCTTTACTACAGCGAAAAGCAACTTTTAGTTACACAGTCATATGTAAGCACAAAAATGGAATTTTGAACAATATAGTTTAAAAAAATAAAGGTCAAGAAAGTATTTCCAGAAATATAAAATCCCTCATAATGGATGCCTGAATAATATTATGTTCCTATACGGGAAAAAAGATCTTGAGGTTCTTCCTGCAATTAATCTGCACCCTTAATATTTACTAATATAATTCTTCAACACGCGTGTGCACTAGAAGTCTGGCAGATACACAAAATACTGCTGAAACACATGCAGCTGTACTGACACACAGCCAAGAGAGCTGAAGTTTTCAAATTTACATCTTGAGCTAAGTATATTCCCCTTCATCAAACCACTGACTGGCCCTTTCTGTGCTGGAATCCTGGAGCTTTATTAAAGTAAGAGTCTATATCTATTTTTTAGACTTTTCAGTGCACGTGTATCTGGCATATACCACCGTGAGACCAAAGCAGCAACTTCAGCATTTGCTGCCCTGGACATGAGCTGGCTGTGAAAAATCCACACTGCTTGGCCACTGAATTCTCTGAACTAGAAAACCATGAGTACTTACAGGCTGTCATTTTCAGTGAGTGGATTTCAGGAGAACATAAAAGCCATACACCTAGAAACACAGTTATTTAAAAGCTACTCTATCTAGAGACTTTGTTTGAGAACACAGGATGCTGGCACTTCTTTTCAGAAATGGCCATAGTTTAATTTTATTTTTCAAATACTGGTGGAACAAGGTGGAATACCAAAACTTCACTCAACGGAACAACCAAGCTGCGTCTACTGAAATAATCACTAGCAATACGCTATGATGTAAATGTTACTGTGAAGAATTTCAGCTCTAGTATCTGAAGCTAAGACTGATGAAAAAAATGTAATTTGGAATAGGCAGCACTGATCATATTTACTTGTAAGAATAGATACCTGCAACACCTGCATAAAAATATTTTGTTTTATAAAAGAAATATACTCATTTGATTTGTAACAAAGGTTTCACTGCTCATAGCAACTGACAGCTTTATAAGCATATTTAATGTTGCTGAAGACAAGGAACACATCTACAGACAAGACATTAAAAAGAGATTTCTGGAGTGTAGCCAGTATTATTATGAAACTTTTATACCCAACAGTAGCTTTACAAAACTGTATCTAAGATGAAAGGTTTATAATGTAAAATGCATAACAAACCCTCTATAAAGTTCAAGATTAGCTTCATTGCAAACTGTTCGCAGCAGTCTTCTGAAAACTTGTATTTGGTTTATAGAAACACAAGTGATTGTTTTTACATGTTGGATTTTGAGAGACAAAAGCCCAAATTAAAGAAAAATGTTTTCAAATAGCATGATGATAAATTATTTTGGTGCCTGTTTCACTTCTGAAAGGTATCACTCACTGAAGAGTATTTATTGGTAAAATAACAGTTATCACTGAGGATTGTACCTGAGGTCCACTTAATCTAATCTCTCTAACATTGGTTGGCATCAAACACTCACGGGAAGTACAGATGTGAGCATTACACCTCACATACAGGATTTCCCTAACCCCCATGGACAGATATTAATTCAAGCCCCAAAGCAGTAAATTTAGTATGCTCTTCAAAATTGCTAACCACTATAGATTTTTTTTTGGCACATTACAAAAATCTTGGCCCCGAAGTTGTAATCATCTCCTTCAGGGAGTTAGATCGATACACATTAATAAAGTTATATCCTGCATAAATTGTGTAAGAGCTTTCTTCCCACCCCCAAACACAAAGAATTCCGTTGATGATTTCTGTTCTCTGCCTTGCAGCAGAAGAACATGGAACTCTTGACCTGCTTTCTCAATATCACTATTTTCACTAAAACTCTCATGTTGTCCCTTCTTTGATTTCAGCTTGAACAATCTATTACAAGTCTTCTTTCATAAAGACTTCTTTCCTAAGCCCTAATTTACTTCCCCACTCATTGCCATGTGTAAAATTTCCCATTCTTCCTAAGATGAAATCCAGGATTTTAAAAATTAATATAATGTTCTGAAATGCTTCCTTAACAGGAGAAAAGGGAAATGCTACAACTGCATCTCTGCAACTCCATCACTTCACAGCAATTTTACACTTGCTCTTAACCTTAAGGAAGATGCTAATATCTTTCAATTTTTTAATATAGAATCATGGAAGGGACCTTAAAGATCACCCAGTTCCGACCCCCTGCCATGGGCAGGGACACCTCCCACCACACCAGGTTGCCCAAAGCCCCACCCAGCCTGGCCTTGAACACCTCCAGTAATGGGGCATCCACAGCTTCTCTGGGCAGCCTGTACCAGTGCCTCACCACCTCCTGAGTGAAGAACTTCCTCCAACCATCTAATCTAAATCTCCCCTCTTTTAGTTTAAAGCCATTCCCACTTGTCCTGTCGCTCTCTGCCTGAGCAAAAAGTTGCTCTCCATCTTTTTCCTAAGCCCATTTTAAGTACTGAAAAGCTGCACTGAGGTGTCCCCAGAGCCTTCATCTGCAGGCTGAACATCCCCAGCTCTCTCCACCTTTCTTCACAGAAGAGGTGCTCCAGCCCTCTGATCAGTTCCGTGTCCCTCCTCTGGAGTCATTCTAACACATCCGTGTCCTTATTGTGCTGGGGAGCTCAGACCTGGTTGCAGCTCTTCATGTGGGGTCTTCAGTGGGCAGAGCAGAGTGGTACAATCCCCACCCTCTGCCTTCTGGCCACTCTGTTGATGCAGCCCTGGACGCAGTTGGCCTTTTGGGCTACAAGGCTCATATTGAGCTTTTCGTCCACCAGAACCCCGAAGTCCTTCTCTGCAGGGCTGTTCCCAATGAGTTCTTTACCCAGATGCTACACTTAGGCTATAGTTAAAGTACATACATACATTAGATGAAGAAATGTCACTGCACAGAGATCATATAAATTGTGAATAATACAGAGATCTCAAAAATAAGATACTCAAATGTGGATATTATAAAATTTGTGACCAGCGTTTACCTCAGAAACAACCAGGCCTCACAAGTTACTCTATATACAAGATCTGGGTCACAAGGTAGGAGAATAAATGAATTCCTGCCTGTAACACTCCCTTAAGAATCTGCTACATTTCTGGAATATGCTGAAGCCAGTAAATTATGTCTGCATTAGCATTTCTCAGGGAATAAAAACATTTGGAAAGTTTCTAAGTAACAGCATTACTAAAAAGCAATTTTAATTATTAAAAGTTACATTAATATTAAACTTAGACCAAAATGCAGGTTTTGCTAAAATAACACCCATGAAACAGGATTTGGTACCTAGTAATACTGGCCAATCTAATACCTTGATCTCTGCGTCTCTAGAATTTTGACAAGTCCATTTATTGACCTAAAATAAAATAGAAAAAAAGCAGAAGTGTAAAAGCAATTGTAATAGACAGATTTTTGACCAACATGACCAACAATTTTTTGAACAATTCGACCACGTTAAGAAGCACAAGAAAGAGCACCACAACAACTCCAATGCCATTATTAACAAATCAAACAATCCCATAGATATCCCAAAAGGCTTTGCTTTTGTGACTTTTTTATATCTTAAGATTGAACTTCGCAAGTTCTAACAACAAAATTAGTGAATAGTGTTTTCTTATGCAAGACTCCTGATACACACTGAAACACATTTTTACTTTTTTTTTTTTTTTTTTTTTTTAAGAGGAACCATTAATAAAGTAGCAAGGTATTACTCCATTTTAATATTTTCTTTACCGGTTTATTGAGAAAGATGGTACAAGCCTTTGATCGCTCATTCAGTTCAAACCACTGGTTCTTTCATACCCAAGACAATTATTCGGAATATATTCTATAACCATTTGTATTGGCTAATGAACACATATCTACTAAGAGATTCTCCTCCTCCTACAAATGGTTACTCAGAAAAATGGGAAGAGCTGCCCCAAAATAAAAGAAAGTAGACACTTAAGACAAAGGCCTTCCCTTATTAGATAATATCAGGTCTTATGCAGGCAAGCTGTTAAGACTGTGGAAGCTCATAAATGTAATGGGCATGACTTCAAAAGTCTCTTTTGCAGTCTCTTTTTCACTGCTGACTAAATGATGTATCAGAATAATCATGAGATCTAATTTCTGGATTAACAGCAAGAACTAACTGTGGTTACATAGTAAAATAACATTTGAACCAGTATAGCATTACAGTTAAACCAAAGTTTCATACCTGATAGATGTTCTGACTTTATTCAATTCTTCCCCTGAAACCAAATCTGTTTTATTGATGATTATAAGATCAGCTAATGCAACCTGCCTATATGTTAAGAAAAAAAATAAAAGACACTTGAACAAACAAATTATTTCTGTAAGGCAGAAGCAACATCTCTCCCATGTGAACATAGAAGTATGATATTGTTAGTACAGAAGGGCAAGCATTAATCAAACAAGAACATCATGGAGTATAACTACAACACTATTGACTTCACCTCCATGTAACTCCTCTCCTTTGACAGAATTGAGTCTACTAAGCTACAAAGGCTTGATGTAGAAAGGTTAAAAAAGTCATCTACTCCAAAGTGTTTGGTGATTTATGAGCCTAATTCTCTTGCACGTACTCTTCATAAAGTCATATTTGAAGTCCCTGCTTTATGAGGACTGCTATTACTACAATTACATTTATTCATTGTGGCTCCACATTTAATAAACAAAATATTTCTCTATCTCCCATTCTACTTTGACTATCTGACAGATCCTAACATGTCATTCTTTTTTGCCCCCAGTACATGTTATTTCCCCATATTTTATGTAAAATTCCATCTCTCTTAAAACATGTATTAGAAGAGTTAAGATGGAACATGAACTCACTTTTGCTTTCTACCTCATTAAATCAATGTAGATTGGTGTAAAAGAAGCAAAAAGCTTTATAAAAAAAATAATTAAAATAATTAATGACCTTCCATACAGCGCAGTTGCAGACAACAATAAAAAAAAAAGTCTTTATATCCATACCGAGATGCTTCATTGACAAGGCCATCTGGTTTCTCCTCTGTCAAGTGCTAGACAAACAATTGGATTAAGGATGTTCAAATAACGGTCAAATTCATTTGCACATAAAGCAAGCCAAAAATATTTCAGCCAAGGTATGATTTTCAACAAGGAATACGGAAGACTACATCTTGGTTATTTTAATTACTTTTGAAAAGTTTATATATTCATCATTACAGAAGCTTAACATTTCTTTAATGAAAACTTTTTAAAAATTATTTTTAATTAGAATGCCAAAGAGTTAGAAAATTATAGTATAGTATTTATATTTAGTTAACTATATATAGTGTGTGTATATATATATATATACATATACACACATACTATCAGTGTGCTGTTGTTTTGTTTTTGTTTTTGTTTTGTTTTTGTTTTTTTTTTAAACAAAAAACACAACAAACAAAAACTATTTCCTGATTGTGCACAACCTAAGCAGATCATAACAGGATGACTGGAAGGAAACCTCTCCTCTGACCCTTCGTTTCTAAGCTTCTGTATATTGATTCTATCAAATCAAACATGGTCAGACTTGTTGCTCTGAAAAGGACAGTGCCAGTATCCCAAACGTCTAGACCTGAAAATGGAGAATTATCACTTCAACTTGTCCAACTGTTTGTCCTTGATTTAAAAGAAATGACTATTTCAGGCTGTTGAGTGACAATCCTATTAGAGTGACAGCCCACAATGCCAATTATAACTTCAGTTTCTGTCTGACTGACTGGTCACAAGGTACTATTTGTCTTTTTAATGATGTATTGTTTTTTTGAAGCATGACACCCTTAGATTTCTGCCTATTACCTCAACGCCCCTGCTTGTATTGCTTTCAGAATTCTGTGAATCACAAGAAGCTCCTGAGGTCAAGCTTTGTAACCAGAGAAACTGCAAAAGGTATCAAGTCCATAATGTAAAGCAGAAGTTATTTGCTTGGCATATAACTCAAAAGTCTGAAGTTCTATCATTCTGGGCAGATGTCAAGATTGTACAGAGCTAATGAAAAATAATATAAGAGTTTTCATTGAGCAAAGTTAGTAACACATAGAAAAGCTGAATTTTTCAATTTTTGGTTTTGTTTTCTGGCATATTACATACAAGTTTAAACATCAAAAATTTATTTTCCTTAAAAATTAAGTACAGCCCTGTACCACACAAGTCTATTTGATTCAAGCCAATAAGTCAGCATTGTGCAAGGAGAAAGTTAAACACAACATTTTTGCAAGTAATACAACACATCTAAATCAATACAAGGGTGCCCAACTGACAAGTGGAGTGATTTAAAACATTGTGACTTGTTCTAATAGTTGATCTTATTTTAAAATTGGATCCTTTCTGTGATGGCAAGCTTGCTCTCAGACCCTCCCCTTCATTCTTCCACCATCTCCTTCGCAGAAAACCATGCAGAACACATTGTCTTACATTCACTGAGCTAGCTGCTAGGGGACTACAAGAGTACCATACTAGTTAGTGCAACATAAATTGGTAAAATGATAGGTTTGCACCCTTTTGCTAAGCCAGCTACTGGATCAGCTCAACTAAAACAAGAAACCAAATAGCATGAACAAAATAAGTCCTTAGAAAGGAGGGATCATTTCCTTATTTTTAACTTTCTTCTTCAGTTTTCTCAGTTTCTTGCAGCCATTGTTAAAATACAAAATAGAGACACCAAAAACACTAGCAGAGCATGATGGTATTTTTATATCATAGGGGCATCTTTTCTCACAATCATTTTCTTTTTGAATCCTACAAAATCAATACCTAATCAAAGTTGTCACTGCTTAAGTTAATAAATTACAAATATAACCAGCTGTTAATGAATAAGGTAAACTATTTGTATTATTTGTATTTTGTATTAATCGTAATTTCCGCTCTTACTCAGCCTCACTCTGTAGGTCTGTAGGTTCTACATAGGTTCTATCTGATAGGGTGCCTCATCATCAGGCTCTCCAATTTCTCCTCCCCAAAGTTGCAATTATGCTAGCACCTTTCCCGAGTTTACAGCCTTAACTCACTTGTTACCACACTAGTATCAGAGTTCTACTCTTACCCCTCTACCTTCAGGTAACTTGGACCGATGGTGCTCTGTAAGCCAAATTTCTCCCACTGCTTTCACAATAATACAGAAGTATATTTGGAATACAACCAAGATACCTGGGTGAAATGACATAACCTATAAGGAACTAAATATTTAGCAACCTGACAAGACTCAGTAGACACGTTGCTGCACTTGCAGGTAAGGACCCGGGAACTACTTGTGTATTGGTACTTTCTTATTCCCATTCAAAATACAGCACTAAATATAACTGGTGATTACTTATAGTAACTGAAATATATCCTCATCCATTGTAAGAATTAAAGCAACTGTTAAAAATTAATTTGTCAAAATGAACAATATTGCAATAGCTTTTTTAACATTGCAATTTTTTTCAAATATGTAACAAAGCCAGTATCTTACCTGCAGTCCATGCTTTGCATCAACGACAGATATAATGCCTAAAAGAGAATATCAAAATGGAGTAAAACCATTAACCGTTTACAGCGAATTTAACAATTTGTTAGCTTCATGTACAACTAGTAGAGTGACAGTAAATGACAGTATCATCACATTTAAAATTGCTCACAATACTTTCAGTGCTTCCAGTGCATCTCAACATTAGACTTGACACTTGTGTTGTGTTTCGTTTTTTTGTTTTGTTTTGCTTTTTTTTTTTTTTTTTTGAAGTCTACTAAGCCAGGTAAGAGAAATTCATACCAGACGGATGCCTCTCCTTCTGCTTCCAGGCCAAAGCAAATTGGCAGAGAGATACTTCCACAGATCACTAAAATAAATTAAGGGGACTGACTGAAGTACACAGTTATTTTAAGTGACCAGGAATCTGCAGTTGTCTAGCAGAAACTTTGGAAGCTGTTTCCTACACAACTGAACCATTCCTTGACTAGCTGGCTGCTTCACAGCCTAACCAAATTGGTTCAGGGACTTTTTTTTAATCCAAAATCTAAAAGTTTTTTTCTAGCTAAAAACAACAACATTCAACATGCTCTTTAACTACTGACAGTTTGTATTACAGTAAATTCAGATATTTAATAGAACACAGCAAATGTTAAAGTAAACAAGAGTACAAAAGGCAAAAACAACACAGAAGACAAATAATGAAACATTGAATAAAAATAATAGAAACTGAATAGAAACCGTAATATCACTCCTAAATAATGTTTAATTACATTTAACTAATGAGGTGTTTTCTTTTTGATTTATTCCCCCTGGTATCAAAATCAAGATCTCTCGTTATCTGATCCCTCTGCAAAACATACACAACTTTTGCTGGCTTTAGTGAACTAAAACAGCTCATCAAGTATACAAGTATCAGAGCAAGAAAATGGGTCTTTGTTGTTAAATCTGTGGATGTGAGAACCAAGACTATGTCTTTCAAACATCTTCTGAAATCTTGCCTTAAATTATAAGAATACATTACACTAAACACAGGTACAAGTTTGCGCTGCTTACCATCAAGATAAATGTCACTTCCCAGCTCAGAATCAACCCAGAACATGGAGGCCACAGCTCCTAAGAAATACAGTAAATTTAGCTGCAAAATTAACATTAATAGTACTGTATTTAAAATCCTTCTCTTCCAAATTCAGATAGCATCATAGAGGTCAAGTACCCAACCACCACGTTTTATCTATCAGCTGCTACATTATGTTTGTGTGCAAATCAACAGCTATGACTAAGAAAAGCTTTAAAAACCCCACACAGGTGCACGTAAGTTGTCTGAACTAGCTTAGTACCTCAGTAGTATTAACCCAGTGCCATTACTGTACTCATGGCATGGCTCCCTCATTTTTAAAGTTTTCAGCGCTACTCCCTTCACCCGTTGTCACCCATGGTCACCGTCCACACATTTTATAGAAAAAAAAGAGGGGCATTTAAGAGATAAAACTGTTAAAGGAAAATGGTATTGGGACGTGTGGGAGAAATCAGCTCCCACCCAGGGATCTATTCCGCTTCAGCAGCTTTTCTGAACTGTTCTATGCAGCTTCTTTCATCAAAAATCAACAGTATGAAGAAAGTCAAGAATAACTGAAGACAGAGAAGAATGCTTTCCTTATCTCTGATCTGCACAGGAAAACCTCTGGCCTAAAATATTTTAGGATAAATCAGGTTAACAAATCTCTAATGTAGGTTCAAATTGCAGACAGATATTATGCTGGAGGTTTAACAGTGTAAATCATGACTGACCCATCTGTCAAGGCCATGCCTGGCCTTCTTTTCTAATGAGCATTTTATCTGTCGAACAGGGCAGTGCACTGCATGCCATTTACCTCAACTCTAGCGAAGTTATGAATGCTGTATTCTAAGACATTCTTGTAAACACGATGCAGCATTACCAACCTAAGCAGAAACACAACTAGACAAAACTGGTTGGCCAGCAAGATCTGAAGGCTGCAGTTAATGGGTCACATCCTATTTGGAAGCCAGTATAAGCAGGGTATTGCAGGGGTCTATCCTTGCACCTGTCCTTTTTCTAACCTCTTTAGCAGCAGTCCAGAGAAGGAGATAGAGGACATGCCTGCCAAGCTCACATAGAACATCAAACTGGGAAATGAAAAGTTGCTTAAGGGTAGCCCTACCACTTAAGGGTAGGGCTGCCTTTCAGAGGGGCAGTCAGAAAGGAAAGGGCAATCGGAACCTGATGAAATTCAGCAAGAAGAAAGGTCAAGCCACACACTCAGGAAAAGCCTGCCCCTTGCAACAATACGGGCTAGGGAGCTGGTCTATGGAAATGGCCCTTGGGATCGTGGTCAGCAGAAGCTGTGCCATCAGTATGCCATGGGAATAAAGAAGGCCAACAGCATCCCAAGCTGTTGGAACAGGAGCATAGCTGAGGCAGGTCATTTTCCTCGATTTAGCATTTTTAAGACCATACCTGGATAGCAATTCCAGCACAGGGATCCCATGTACACAAAAAATGTCAATAGACGTGTATGAGTTCAGCATACAATCACAGGAATAAGGGGTTCAGACCACATATACCAGAAGTACGCTTCACCATGAAAAGGCAGGCACAGAACAGGTTGACTGGAGTTGTTCTATCACTACCATTCTCTGACAGAATACCCTGCAACCTGATCTTATATCTTACCCTGCTTTGAGCAGGAAGTTGGACTAAAGACTTTCCAGCATCCTTTCCAACCTGAAATAGTCTGTGATTGTGTAATTTTAACATTTCTTTATAATGTAAAACAGAACATACTAAGCTGATAAGCCTAGAGGAAAAAGAATCCAAAAGTATTTGAACCACTGTGGTCACATTCTATCAAGGATTTAGAAATTTGTGACCTGCAACCTGTGTAATATATATGGCCCAAGAACACGCTACTCCTTGCTTTCTGCTAAAAAGACCCTGTGAAATACATTCTAGCAACTGTAGGATGTGCTGCATATTTACAAAAAAAATCACAAGTTGTCATGAAACAAACCAATTTAGCATGTATCAGAGCTACAACATGAAAGATAGAAGGAGCTAACAGCAGCGACAGTACTCGTATTTTTCAATTATCAGACTCTTCTTTACTGACAGACTGTCTAAGCAAATAAATCACAGAAGAAAACAATAACTGAACTTATTCTAATGCCTAGAGCTGTCCAGCTGAACTGACAAGATGCAGTCCTCCAAACATCACTCTGTAACACCACCAAATACCTGTCAATCGTTTACAGGACTTACTCATGCAGGCTATAGCAAAGGCCACAAGATCTAATGGTTTTCTGGTATCTATTGATTTTTTCCAAAAAGCTTAATAGTTTTCCAATTTGACTCAAATAGGATGTGTGAGTAACAGAGGCCAAATCAATGTCCTTCCTTCAAAAAAAAAAAAAAATTACTTTACTATGACAACTATTTAGCTTTGAGCTGGAAAGTGTCAATCTACTAAACGGGAAACAACTGAACTGCCAGTAAGAGTTTCCTCCACTCTCAATCAATGACACATTTTTAATTGGTATGGCTCAGAGACAAACGTTTAGATAGTTATTACTAACATGAACTCCAGTTGAAACACCTTTTTATAATAAATATCACTAAACAGTACACAAGGAATTTGTAAGATCTATTACTGCCTTCTGTACACCAAACCAATGTATAAGTTTACTTATAAATGTACTGTTTGGCAGTACTTCACAGAATACAAGGCTTATGACAACCCATGTAACACTAAACCAGATGATACTAATCTATACTTCGAAAGGAGAAACACAGGTCAGAAAAGACTACTGAAAGCTAGCTCTTCTCCAAGCCTTACCAGTTATTTTGTTGGAAGACATATATTCTAACTGGATTTCTGTTAGGCTTTAGAGTCAATCTAAAGGTTAAAAGTTTAAAAACAACAACAAAAAACACCACAACCTCTTGGTGCACCAATTCCCTTCACCAGTTCAGTTTCAGTCTATACAGCAACCAAAGCATGTGACTGATGAGTCACCACTTTATAATACATTCTGAATGGTGAACTGACTGGTGAGCAAACGAACACTTCATAAAAACAGGATAATTATAATGGTTATGAAAAACAAGCATAATGCGAACTACCTGGATCTGCCAAACCAGTTGTTTCTAACAATATATAGTCAAATTTTCCTCTCTTTTGCATGAGGTTCTCAATAGCCTTCACACCATTGTCCCTATAAGAAGAAACAATTAAACCTGAGAACAGAGAATACAAGTAAAACATATATAGACATGTTTTATGTAAACATATTTATCTTCTGATGCAGAACACAGTAACAGTATCATCAAAGCAAAGGTCTGAGTCAGGACTTACAGACTACACTTAAAATTCAGTCATCAAGATGCTGTTCCACTATCAGGTAAATAGCAGTTTTCTATTTTGTTTTAGTCTGAAAATACTATTTGCCAACTCCCAAGGGCGTAACAATGGTCATTTAAATGAATATTCATTTTCAAACACTGAAATAACTGTAAAGCACAGCTGTATGAATGTATAACTTTTTTTATTTGTAAACTGAGATTTTAAAAAGAAGAGGGGGGCAGTGGAGATCAATCAATGTTCTCCTGTCTTTCTCTATCACATATAGCAAAATCAAGATGTGTAACTGAATCAGCTGATGAAGTCAAAACATACGGTATTTTACATAGGAAACCAATGTATATTAAAAAAAAAGTAGTAATGGCAGCATTCTTTACATCCCGCCATACAACACAGTACAATAGGATCTTTGTTTTCCCCTTACTATCCCATTTTTAAGATCAGTTCTTCAAATTTTCTGGGCAAATAAATTTATAAGAAAGGCGATGGTTTATCAAAAACAATCCAGCATTCAAATGAACATGGGAACAAAACATAACAAAACCAAATACACTATTACTTTTCAACATAACCATCAGTTTACAATTCAGAATATCACATTTCATTAGGCCACCAAGCTCACCCTCTACCCTTTCTGAGGAACAAAACATTCAAGTGTTAATCAAGATAGAGTAAGAAACACCATGTAAGGATTTGAACTGGAAATTAGTTCACCTGAGTCCTAGTTCCAGCCTTCCTGTTTAATAGCATGTACTAGTAACAGAAGACTGAGAGCTCCTTACCCTACAATACCCAATTGGTGTTTATATCAATGCATTTCTAAAATACATTTCTACCTATCAAATTCCAGTTCTCATTTTAACTGACAAAAAGAGGTCACAATCAACACTCCCATCAGTTCTGTGAATCTAGACCTCGGTCTCCTCAATTCCCCAAAACCCCCTGTAAGAACTCGCGTAACAGTCCTTCCTTACTTTACTGAACAGCATAGGCAGCCATTTCTGAGCTCCAGCCATTCTTCATAGAGTTCTCCCCCTTGACTGATTGCCAGGGATTTCTCCAATGCGCTGCCTGGAAAAAGAGGAAGTACTGTAATTTGAATCCAAAAATCTGTGAAAGAATGCCTGCAAAGGAGATATGAAAGAATCAGGTTGGCATACATTTCACTCTTAAATTACATTTTGTTTTCAGAGACTGTTTCTAATACACTGTTTGTAAGCCAGTATTTTCCATTTTTTGAGACAGTTAAATAACAAAGTCAGACTGGCTCTACAAACACCAAAACCCAAAGGATAAACATGACAGCACAACTGCAACTAACTTTGCTAAAAGCAAGGGAAAAGGCTATGTTATTTTAGGCTCCATGACTAGAAGTGACATGCATATAGAAAAAACACCGCCACTAAAGAAAAACAACACTACCACAGTGCAAACTGTAAGCAACACTGACCATTATATATAAAAGCTTACCCACCAACAGTTCATTTTAATTTCCATCTGCTTAAGAATGAGAAGGCCAAATGGAGGTACAGCACTTGCAGCAGCATAATATATTCATTTACTTGACTTCAAGGAATTGAAGTGATGTACAAAACTGATCAGCACATAGTAATTTTCTATTAATACCAACCAAAAGACTTTTTGCCATTTTCTAGGGTGTCATAACAATAATCTCAGCAACGAGATGTTCTTGATTTCTAGCAATTTTATATATATTTTACAGGCAGAAATAAATAAAAATAATGTTTCTACGGGTCTACATACCTTCTCCAAACTCATTGAGTATCACTGCGATTTTTTTACTATGTTGCTCTGTCAGTATGTAATTTAAAAGAGTTGTCTTCCCAGCACCTAGAACACAAACATCATTTCTGATATGGTTTTAAAAGTGGCTAAATTTTCAAATTAAAAGCAAATACTACTGCGGGCACACACACATCAGACGAATCTAATCTCTTCTGAAATAAAAGTTTTCAGTCTCACATCCTGCATTCTGTTATAACACCGTAAAAATTAAACTGAAGGAGATTAAACTGAAAAAAGTAAACTGAAGGAGATTAAAAAATTTGAAGGAGACTTCAAAGACTATTAGCTCATTCTATCTGAGCTTAAAAACAAACAAACCAAAAAACCAGAGTCTTCTCTTCACAAAGTGCCAGCGCTCAAGTAATTTACAAGCCCTTACGAGCTGGGCAGCCTTTTCCTAGAAAATTCACGTTTACTGTGTTAATAAGCGTAGAAGAATAAGCGTTTATTCTTCTACCTCTCGTTGCTTCTTCTAAGCAGCAGTTTTGTCATCAGTAGTGACTGTGCTCTACGTGCCATGGGACGAGGCACCATTAAGCAACCAGTAACCACACTCTCAGGAGTTTCATCCCACAAAGAAAACAGGGGTTTGGTGAGACAACCCTCCTTTGCGTCCTCGGTTTTGTTGGTTTTTTTGGGGGGGGAAGAGGACAACGAAGTGCAAAGTTTTAAGACAAGTTTCAGAAGGGGGTGTGCAGTCCCGGTCCTTTACTGCACACACCTTTATGCCGTGTTCCCAATCACCGCGTTGGTTTAAGAGAGGGAGAGCAAAGCTTTGGTTGGCAAAAGGAACCAAAGGAACCGCGACCAACCACCCTAGCACCTCGCTGAGACGTTAAACGGGGTCGCCATTAAGCGGGGACACCCCCACAGGGCGCCGAGCCCGCAGCGCAGCGCCTCACCCAGGTAGCCCGTGATGATCGTCACGGGGATCCTCCTGCCGGCGTCGGGCCCCTCCGAGCCGCCGCCGGCGATGGGCACCAGGGCCGGGCACTCCTCGTCCTCCATCACAGCGCGGCTAATGGCGGCCGCGCCGCTCCCCCTCAGCCCGCCGCCGCCACCGCCCTCCCCCCGCCATCCTCCTCCTCCTCCTCCTCCTCCTCCTCCTTCTCCTCCCCCACCGCCACGCGCCCGCCTCCCATCACGGCCCGCCGCGGGCATGCGCTGCCCGCTTGGGCGCATGCGCATCTGGCTGTAAAGCCTGGTGAGGCAGGCGTTAGTGAGACGGGTTTTGGTACAAATTAATAAAATGCGTGTCTTAATCGTGTTTGTGTGCTTGTTTACTTCTGTGGGCGGTACACACGCCTTTGAATCCTCTTATGTTTTTACAGGTTAAAACATCCCTGTGATGTGAACGATATTCAATGATACTTCTCTGTAGCTAAATAGTTTGATTTTACTTCAGTCACAAATGTGTAAAAATCTGATCTAAAAGCGATCAAGTTAGTTACAAGATGCATTAATTTAGCTTGTCCATGCACGTACAATTACTTATTCCAACAGAAATACCTATAACTATGCGATCATTTAAGGTAAAAAGGAAAGCTCAAATGCAAATTATTATGCTCTTGATTTTTTACAGAAATGCAGTGCTTGATTATTTTTTTTTTTGATTGTTTGTTTATTTTTGTTCTGCTTGTAGTTAAAATAATTCATGTTGCTTAATACTCTAAATCTTCTGCCTGTTTGATAGAATTTCAGTAAAGGCCTGAGCATGAAAGCCGTGAGTTTAACAAGGTGACAGGCCTAGGTACCTTTAATAAATAAGGATACCTGACAGAAATTAGTTGTGGAGTTTGTGTTGCCTTAATTGTTAAAGACAGTAAATCTCATCCGTTGCTTATATTGTATAAGCATGCAATTTAGGACCAATACAAGACATGATACATCTGTTTGCAGTCTTGTTTCGGTCAGGTAAATGTTACAGATCCTGTTTTAAAGGAAAAAACTTGCCCATTTTTCAAAACTCTTTGTTTGCACTCTGAAAGTGAATTCCAATGGCACGTGTTTCTGCTGTGCTGAGACTGCTCAGCTTTTCATAGTTCTTCTATTAGGGCATTAATTAACAAAAATTGTAAAGATTTCCACTGTGAGAAAGCTCACAGAAAACAAAAGGAAGAAAATAATCAGAGAGGTATTGGAAACTGGCATGTTAGCATGACAGAACATTAAAAAAAAAAAATGTAATACTGAAATTTCATTTACATGTCAGTGAGACATACTGGGGAAAAAAGATATGATGAGACCAGTGTCCTGGCTCTGCAAGTTGTTCTGCTTTTCATTAGTTCACATGTGCCAGGTCATTACGTTTCTCTGGAACAAAATTACCCAAAATAAATAATGTGGTTTCTGGATTTCCTTTCAAATTTCTTGAAAGTTTACATTCAAACATCAGAAATTTGCTGTATTAGCTGTCCTTGCATTTCTGTTGAACTTTGTAATAAGGCCTACTATGTGAATTTAAATGCAAAGCCTGCATATTTTGTTGTGGTGGCCACTAAAATGAACACAGCAAACTGGGTGGCATAGTCAGAGTGGTTTATTCTAAGGTATTTCTCTTCCAGTCACACCATTAGAAAGTGGTGAAGTGTTGATAGGTTGCAGGAAGTCATATTTAACTGTTAGTTTAGGTGGTTTTGGCTGCAGTTGAAGTAAGTTAGTACCTTCCAAAATTCTGAAGATCTCAGTGCAAGCAAGTAGTTTGTTTCAGACTGATTTCAACAAAGGATAAAAATGTTTATTTAGGCTGTTGCTCTTTGAGGAGAATTAGGGAACAAGACTGTAAGAGCCGTGAAAGTAAGGAAAAAGATGCACTGAAGAATGTCGCAAGATACTGCAAATGCTGTTGTATCATGTATCAATAATGGGAGCATTATGTGATTTAAACAACAGGAAAATAAAAACGTTGGCATTTCAGTGGTATATAGACTATAACAGTCCTAAAGCATCATGCCTTCTGGAGAAGGAGGTTTCTGGACGGTATTAATAGTGTATATAGTAAAGTGTAGTTCAGCATCCCAGAGAAAGGTGTTGCTGCAAATCAATACAACAATACCAGTTTTTTGTTGTTTTTTTTTTTTTGATGTTGTTTAATCTGCAAAACAATGAAGGAACTGAAATTTTCATTTTTGTGATGAGTTCAGTAGCTGCTTAGCAGCCCCATGTATCTCAAAATACAAACTGGTAAGCAGAGGCATAACCTTAGTGTGATTTGCACACTGCCCTGGGTACATTAACTTCTTTCTTGCCTATGAATGCTGTTTAAGTATTTCTGTTAAGCTTTCTCTATTTTCTTATCTATATTTAGATTCTATTTTCTTATTTGTATGTACATTGAGAACTTCTCATGGCAACTGTTATGAATGTACTTGTGGATGTTTCTGGTACACCCATTGTGGACACACAGGAAATAAACAGATAAATAAAGAGGGTTTGAAAGCCTTTTGCTTGAGCAGTCTTCTGAGAAACGATGTCCAGTAATAACTGGTAAAAAAAAACTACAGTAGGTAAAAGATGTAATGCTGGCCCAGATCTTGCAAATACTGTGATAGATTCCTATAGATTCCTGGCACAGTGTATGTGGAGAGTCAGTGTCATCAGCATGTGCTGACCTGAATCAGGGAAGCAATTCAGGTGCTGTCAGACCTCTGTAGCTGCTGCATTGTAGTGAGGTTCAATAATGAAGTAAGGTTCTACCCATGTGAAGCTCTGAAAATGACTTGTATATTGAAATATTAACTCCCTGATAAAAGGAGATTGTCGGGTTTTTTTTGTTTTTTTTTTTATTTTTTTTTTTTAGTGAACACATCATTAACATGGAATATAAGACAAGGAGATGCTTTTAAAAGCAAAAGTGTTACTTCAGTTAGTACACCTACTTTTTGACACTTCTGCTTTTTATGACTGGAGTGTAGTACAGTGTTATGCTTTAATTTGTTTTAGTGAAACACAGTATTTGAGTAGAGGCATGGCCTATAGTCAGAATTTGAATATCAACATATACAACCTAGCAGGTTCCCTAATTGTACGTAAGAGGATGGTGGTTATAATGGAAAATATTATCTGTCAGCGTTGCCTCCACCTAAGTGCTGTTTATGTGAGCATTCTGTTGAGAGTTCAGCCTATAATATTTATATTTCTACAGAAAAAATTATATAGATTAGTGGTAAACGAATGGAAAAAAAAAAAAAAAAAAAAAAAAAAAAAAAAAAAAAGAAGATTCACATAGGCTATTGCTTTGTTTCTAGAATCAAATGTTCTGTGAAAAGGCAGCTCCAGTGTGGTCTAAGTTCCCTTTCTTATGTTTCACCAACACAGAAATGAAACTTAAAGATAGAAGTGTTTTGTTGTTGTTGTTGTTGTTGGGTGGGTGCGGTTTTTGGTTTGTTTGTTTGTTTTTTAAAGGATGGTTGAGAATTTCTTTGCCAATTTCTTTAATACATCAGTAGGAGTAGTAGAAAAGTACACTTTTCTTAGATTTAGCCTCCTAATTTTCATATAAGAGTTTTTTGTTTTATTAAACTTGAAGTGATCTTAGACATTACTGAGATTTATGCCAGTGAGAGCACTGCACATGACCAGATCCAGCTTCCCTTAGCAAGAGTGCGTAGTGGCACTGGCTAGATGAGCCAGCAGCATTGTAGGATGGTGTAATGTTAGCAAACATTGGCAGTCATTGTGTGCTGCTGGCGGGTAGAGATCATCACAGTTCTCCTGTTGATGTGAACCTCCAATACTCTAATGAGATGATCAGGTAATGGTTATTCTTTACTGAAATTGCATATTGCTGGTGTATTTTGCCAAGGATTCAAAGTTACCCTTCTAAAAGATACTGAGAATATTCCTGTGGACTTAATTCAGCTTTTGATAAAACATCAAAGGCGTATCCTCTGCAAAAAGCAAGGGACGCTTAGAGCCTCACCAGGGCTTCATCATCCCCGACTCTCCTGGGCCATAAAGTCGGGTTTAGTGGTAGGCACCCTGCCATGCCATACCATTTTTTTCAGGTATATGACTGCCAGTAAACAAGTGACTCCTAATTTACACTTCTAAGGAAAAAGTTTTTTGGAAATGCTTGTCATTACAGAAAAAAGCCCCCGGTAGATGGCGCATAGACACGCTGTTTATTGTCCCTGCCAGTGCTTCCCAATCCCGTTTGCCTGTTCTCTGACAATTTCACGCAACATTGGGTACAGTAGCTGCTCTGGCAGTACCACCAGTCAGCAGCACCTCGCTGCCCTTGGAGGCTGGCCTTGCAGCTCCTCACCCTGCCCAGCTGCTGGTGTCCTACCTCCTGCTGGCCAGGTTGCAGGAGTGAGACCAAAGCAGAGTGAGAACATTTGAAAATGCAGTGGGGGTCAGGGGATGCATGCCTTTATGACAGATTCTAGGGCTGAAATGTGGTGGTGAGTGAGGAAGCAATCGTTAGGATCACAGTCTGGGATGCTTGCATCTGTGACAGGAGGATGGGGAGACGGGGAATGAAAGCATGCTTCCTTCTAGTGTGTGGTATGCAAGACCCCCCAGCATCTGCTGCCATCCAAGCAAGCCAGGTCTGGAAAATCACGATGTGTTACAAACTGCATTATTTTCTTTGCTTTATCTTGATTTTGTGCTCACTTCACTCACACTTGGTTTGATGGCTTTTTTCATCTCTTGACTGGAAAGACCTTCCTACTTCTTTTTCTAAAGACATGACTAGACTTCATGGCCTTGTATGCAGTAGGTGTGTTAGTTGCAGGAATTCAAACAATGACAGGGTTTAATAATAAGCTGAAGCAACAGTATTGACAAAATTTTATTGGATCAGATAGTGTAAAAAGTCCATCTATTAACACCTCATCTTATAGTAATCCAACAAGCTAAAAATATGTAAACTTGCATGACAGAATTCCTTCCCCCCCTTTTTTTTTCAGAAACAAACAAAAAAAAAGTGCTGAAATAATAGATGAAAAAGAATACTTGATGACTTTTGCTTCTCATATGATGAAGTAGGCTGATGATAATTCAGTTCATGCAAAAAAAAAAATGAAAACTTCTAATGATCTAAATGTTTGGGATGTAGCTGCTGAACATACTAGCAGCCAT